AAAAGAAACGGGAAAAACTGTTAGATATTTCAATAATACAAAAATATTCACTATTAATTCGTCATTAATTCACTTCCGATGAAACAACAACAAATTGTTTTCAATTTCAATTTTTTTTTTTTTTTAATATTTCATTAATAATAATAATTAATCAGACCAAGTAAGCCCAATGCATAATATTTAATTTATTGATTATAACGAAATAATCTCAAATATTAATTTCGATTCTTGAATTCTTCAAGAATAGAATATAATTTTGATGCATTAGAATTTAATATTAATAGGGTAAGTGCATCAATTATGGCGCGTTCATAAAAAACATCAATTATTACTATTATATTTAATATAAATGTTGCTAAATGATTTTAAAAAAAATTATTTTAATCTTTTTTTTTGATACAATTACTAATAAAGATGCACATTGAAACAATTATTAATTTTATTATTTGAGATCAAATTTTTTTTTCCCTCGCCGTAATTGAAACATTTTGAATATTTCCCTTGGCTCCAATTACGGTTGGCAAAGTATCTTCAAAATACACGTATTTTTGGTCACCGTAATTGATACACCAAAACTGATTCGATTTAATTTCTCATATTTGTTTAAATAATCGATTTTTATAAAAGTTAAATTTTTTTTTTAATATCTAAATAGGAGGAATAGGAGAAATTTGATTTGAAAAGAGGGGAAAAATAGGGTAAAATCTAAATGTATATTTTCCTTAACCAAAAATGTTTTTAAGTTATTTTAAATTACGTGAGATTTTCCCAGTATAGTAATTAATTTTTTTTTTTTTTTTAATGTAATTTTCAATATTTTATAAAAATATGAATTGCATACAATAAACGCTTTCTATTTTTTAAACTTATTTTAAAATTAATTTTCCACAAAATGAAAATTACTTTTAAACAAATTTTTTTCTTTGAAAAATGCAAATACAGTGGAACCTCAATTATCCGAACCCCTGTTATCCGTACCTTCTGTTATCCGAACTTCTATTATCCAAACTTTTTTTTGTCTTTTCATTTTATTAATGTTTTTTTATACCTTAATTATTATTTTATATTATTTATTTAATTTAATATAAATATTTATGTCCATTTAAAATATTATATTATATTAAATATACACTGAAAAAAAATTATTTGATTAAAATACTCGATTACTTGACTATTATCAAATAAATATTATTTGGTTCAAGTAAATATTTATTTGATAATACTCAAGGAATCAAGTATTTGAATCAAATAAATTTTTTTTCAGTATATATAGTTTAACTGTGACATTGTTTTACTTTAATTATATATATATAAAAACATTGGAAATTTCTATTATCCGAACCCGGTTCTGTCTAAGTTAGTTCGGATAATCGAGGTTCCATTGAAATTTTTCATTTTATCAAACCAAAAATCGTCTTTTAAAATATACAAAACTTGATTTTATTCAATATTTTTCAAAGAAACTGAAATTTTTAATTTATTTAAATTAAATTTTAAAAATAATTTTCTGTTAAAAAAAGAATTTCAATATTGCGAAAAATTTTAAAATTGTCCTCGTTCGTGACTCCGGGTTCGGCAAAGAGCGGAATTAAAAAGTTTTACTTTTGAATAAATATTTTGAAATATCAAGTTTCAAGCGAATTTGGTAAATTTTAAAAATTTTTGATCAAACATTTTGAATTTTTCAAAAACTACATAAAATTTAGATTCAGCGACCCCAAAAATCCCCAAGTACCAAAATTTAAACGAATTGAATCAATTTTTAAAATTTTCCACTATATTGGGCCCGACATTTTCATTCATTGACACTCAAATCGAATTATGTTTAGTATTTTTTTTTCTAAGGTGGACATATATATATATATGTCCAAACTCACAAAAGTTGCACGACTTTTTTCTAGACATATATATGGGCCATGGACTGTCAAGGAGTTAAAAGTGTAACACTTTCCCCAAATTTCCCTATAATTAAAATTGTAAACGATATTTCACGTTAATTTAAAAAATTTTTATAATTCGATTTAAAATTTACTCAATTGAATGATAAAATTATTCAATTAAAATTTTGTATTTTTCATCCAGTATATATAATTAATATATTAATTTTACAGGAATAAGACTGGAAATTTAGTTTTTATAAATATTTATTAGAGACGTTTCGGCAGCAACGTTGCTACCCTCTTCAGTCTATATAAATTTATCAAACATTATAAACTTAAATTTAAATTAAAATTAATTTAATAATAATAAATATCTATCTCTGTCAATAATACATGTATGTCTCTAATAAATATTTATAAAAACTAAATTTCCAGTCTTATTCCTGTAAAATTAATATAGATAAAATTATTATCACTTTCACAGGTTTATTATAGAAGAAAAATAAATTAAGAATTAAAAAAAGAATTAAAGTTCTAGCTATTATTAATTTTCTTCTATTTTCATTAAAAAAAGATAAAATTAATATTCTGTCAAAAAAAAAAAAAAAAAAAACAGATTCAAAAAATCATTTTTCATCAGTTACTAATTGTCATAATTCTGAATTATTAATTAAAATGAAAAAAATAATTGTATTTATACAAATTATAAGATTTAATTTCATCACATAATATGCATCGTTTTATTTAAAAAAAAAATTGTTTAATAAAAATTTATTGACATTTCTTTCTTGCCAAATAACACAACTAACAGCGAATAAATGTTATTAATTTTTTAAGTTGGGCATTACTTGATCAGATTTAAGAAATTTATAAATTTTATTATCTAATTATCAATATTGTTTATTAATATTGATTTAATTTCTTTGATATTATTTAAAATTATTTACAAGTTGATTAATTAAAATAGGATTTCATTTTTAGAGTTGTAAATCATAAAGAGAAATTATGTTTTTATATTGAAATTTTTACTTGTTTTAGAGAATATGTAAAATTTCTTGTAAAAATAAATGTTTTAACATATAATTTTCGAAAATCGAATATATTAATTTTTTAAACAGAAATTTCAATTATCGTCAATTTTAAATTGAATTTTTTTGAATTTCAAAAACCAAATAAAATAAATTTATCAGTTAAAAAGTTAAAATAGTGTAAATTAAGTAAAAATAGTATAAATATTTTAACAACTTTTGCAATTTTTGTTAAAAAATAATTTAATTTAAAAAAAAATATATAAATTATGTAAGAAATACTAAGAAATTTTTTAGTTTAACTTTAAAGAAATTAAAACTAAATTTTAATTAAAATTTTTAATTATCTCTCTTTATAAAAATAATAATAAAAATCATTTATTAATTTATTAGTAATTAGGTTAATGTTTTTTTTTAAATATTTAATATTTTTCCTATACTTTCGTTTATAATACCTAGTAAAATTTAATTTTTTCCTATGCAAATTTTTCATTTTTAAGCAGTTTAGAAAATAATCATGTTCACGTAGATAATAAATCTAAGTGGAAATATATATTAAAAAAAAAAAAAAAAAAAAAAAAAAAAAAAAAAAAAAAAAAAAAAAAAAAAAAAAAAAAAAAAAAAAAAAAAAAAAAAAAAAAAAAAAACAATAATTCTTTCTTATTCTCAAATAATGTTTAAGATTTCACAATACGGCTCATACGTGAGTAATATTAGACTTTTTTATTCCCTATTTTTTGTTGTCATTTTAAATGATAATTTTTTGTTTTCAATTTAGTAATTTCAAACATACGCGACAACAGGGTGTCTAGTGAATTTTTATTTTAAAATTCCCGGCAAAATCCCGGATTTCCCGGAATTTAAGACACAGTTTTCCCGGATTTTCTTAAATTGAAATTGTACAATACTATGTTTTAATAATACCTTGGAAGTTACATGAGTAACTAATAAAATTATATTTGTATAATTTTGTTACTATTAAAAATGGAAAAGCATTTTTTCTGTTTCGGAAGTAATTTTAATTTGTATAATTTATTAAAATATACTTTTTACAATTTTTTAATGAAATAAGCTTAGGATTAAGCATGTAAGACAAGTTTTTAATTAATTATTACGAAAATACCGTAAATCGCAGTATTTTTTCAATTTCAAATAACTTAGTAAATCTATCAAGTTGAAGTAACATTCATAATTTAACAAAAAATCACCTAGGTCACAAACGACCCAGGTCGGGATTCGAAGGGTTAGCATTACTAAAAAGAAATTTGTCTTCAAAACATATTAAATTTTTTAATGCAAAGATTTTGTGAGAATTTTTTCCAAGTACTTTTTCATTTAATTATAATATTTCCATCTGCACAACAGAAATAACTTTAATTTTTCCCAACTATTTTTTTTCCTCAATTTCGAAGTTTTTAGAATATAAGAAAAAATTTATGGAATAATATTGACAAGTTACCTTAATTTTATGAAAAATTACCTTTTAAGTAAAATTGCAAATTTGAAAAACTTCATTATTTTTTTAATTACTTGCAATTTAATAAAACACTGCAATTTGCACTGCTTTTGTAATAAATTACAAAAAATATATTATTAATACAATATATTGCTAAAAAAAAGGATATCAGATACGAGTATACCAATAAAAAATTTTCTACGAAAATTTAAAAATTAAATATATTTTTCTAATATTTTCTAAAAATCTACAAATTTCCCGGATCTGTTTACTAATTCCCGGCAATTTCCCGGTTTTTTTCATGACTCAAAAAATTCCCGGCAAAATCCCGGATCGCTAGACACCCTGGACAACTTTGAGCATACTCAAAGTTACGAATTATTATTGATTTGATAATTGGATCCCGATTGTGTAAAAAAAAAAATGAAAACGGTTTAATTCTAAAAAGTATACTCCATTAAATCGGAATGCATTATTATGCATTTTTTCAGCATCTTAAATTAGTCAAGTCCCTTGAATTTGTGAATTTATGAATATTATACGAAAATGTTACACTAGGTAACATAATTTTCAAATGAAATGTTTATATGATATTAAAAAATGCAAGTATGAAAATAAGAAAAATGAGTACGTTACCACTGGTAAGTTGCCTGCAGCTGAAAGAATAAATAAAAACATTTCGTTAATTAACCACTATATAAATAATTATAAAATTATTAAGATAAAAATAATTTTTTTTTTTTTCACAAAAATTAAATTAAATTTGATCAATAAACGTTATAATTTTGAAAAAATTCCTTTTATCAAAATTTATAAATTAATATTAATTTATTTCGTATACATATTTAATTTCTTGTAAATTTTGTATATAAATGAAATAATCAACTCACCATCATCATTGTTACTAACTGAATCGTAATTTTTTCCACCTCTCATTGCTTGTTCCTGCAATGAATAAAATGAGAAAAATAATTGTCAATTTAATTTAATGACAAAGTGGAATAATTTTTAACTATATTTGCGAGGAAAAACATTTTAATATAATAGTAATTTTTTAAATTAATTATTAATTTCCTGTTTTGAAATTTATTACCTGCATAAATAGATTATTTTCTTGTTGTCTTCTGTGCAGTTCTTCTTCTTGCTTTCTAATGCGCATAGACATTTCATCTTGTTGTCTTCTTCTCATTTCTTCTTCGCGTGTTCTTTGTTCTTCAGCTTGTCTCTCCTTCATTTCCCATTCTCTCTTTTGTCTATCTCTGTCAGCTTCTCTCATGCGTAATTCTGAGAGAAAAATGTAATAAATATGTTTATTTAATATATACATTAAAAATGAAAAAATTTTAATTACGAAAATAAAATGTTTAACTTTTTTTTCTATTATAATTTATTATTTTAATTTCTAATTATTATAATAAGTGTCCGTCCGCATGAATAATTCTAATTATTATTATAATTTCTAAATTTTTTCAAATACAATAAATTTAAAAATCAATTGCTATTAAGAAAGAAATATAATTTAATACATATATATATAAAAATTCTAAAAAAAATCCTTACGTTCTCGAAGGACTTCAGTTTCGTGCTCGTATCTGGCGAATTCCATCTGAGCTTCCAGCTTCTCTTCTTCCATTACCATCTCTCTTTTCAATGCTTCCTCCTTTTGCTTGTACAACTCGTGTAATTGTTTCCATCTTGTGCCATATTCATGCTCAAAACTACCAATCTGAGCAAAACGAGGTCCAACTTCGCGAGATGAATAAAAATCTGGATGTTTCTTTGGTAAATTTTTGTCAGGATAACCGTCAATATCGTCTTGTGGTTCGAAAATTTCAGCCACCACTGGTCGTAATGATCTAATTTACAAATAAAATAAATAAATAAATATTTTATGATAATATTTTATTTTTTCTCCGTCTATATGAGCCAAAAGTTCTGAACGAAATATTTTTTTCAATCTATAAATTATTTAAAAAAAAAAAAAATTATAATGGCAATGTAAAATAAAACAGTAAATTAAATTATTAAATTAATAACTTCTTTTTTCTTTCTTTCTTCTAACTTTTTTCTTTTAGGTTATTTAAAAAATATTTTGTAATAAAATTCGTAAAGAAGTTTATAAAAAAAATTTCGTTCATTTGAACGTTCAAAATTTTTGGCTCATGCGTTTATAAATTTTTAAAAAAAAAATTACTGCTGTAATGGAAAATTAAAAAATTTGAATAAATTTAATAAAACTTACGCGGTGAGGAAGTAACAACCATCTGTACATTTTCTAATTGCTTGTTGTGCGCATGGTTTTCTAGCAAATTCAACGATACCTTCACCTGATGATTTGCCTCTTTCATCGACTATTACAATAGCACGTTCAATATCACCAAAAACACTAAATGCACGTTCAAGAAGTTCATTTGAAACCCATGGTGTAAGATTCTTAACTTTAACAGTCACTGAGCTTGGAGCAAATCGTACTTTTAAAGCGCGACCTTTACGAGGCGATGCATCTAATTCACGCTTTGCTTTTTCAGCATTCAAACGATAGTCCTATATAATAAATTATAAAAGCAAATTTTACTCTACTATTACGAATAAAAACAAAATTTACATTTATATTAAAAATTAAATATAAAAATAATTTTAACAAAAATTCTAAATATATTTATAAATTAATTTTTTATTATTATTAATATAAAAAAAATAACTTACCATTTTTAAAAACGCAAAATTCTTTTCTTTGTTAATGAAAATTTCAGAAACTTCACCATATGGCGAAAATAATTGTTGAATTTCCTCATCTGTCACGTCATTGGTCAAGTTTCCCAAATAAAGACGATTTCTACCGGAGAATTTCTTCTCCGTTGTGTCTTGTGGCGGTAATTCATGTGTTGGTCCATTTAAACTCATAATACGATCCAATAATCGATCCTGAATAAATATAATAATGAATAATCAATGTTTTGAAATAAAATTATTATTTATTATTTCTATTTATTATTAGTATTATTTCTGTATTGTTCTCGTAATTTGCCGTTGAATTGTTCATTAATTATAAATCAAGAAAAAGAAAAAAAAAGAAAAATTGGACGGATAGTAAAAATAAAAAGTTAGTCCAACTTCTTTTTATTGCAACTTTAAATAAAAATATAATTTTTCTAACTGAAAAAACTATTTTTTTTAGTAAAAGTGTAAGTAATTTAAAATTTAACAAAATTCTTTACACTTGCAATGAAACAAATTTTTTTAAAAAATTCGAAAATATAGGGCTAAATTTTCTTTCGATTCGAGCCTTCCATGAAAAAAAAAAAAAAATTAAAATGCTATTTAAGAAAAATTTTTAATCTTACGTCTTGCGAACGATTCATCATATTTCCTCGATCACCTCCAGGACCACCAGGACCTCCTCCACCACCTCCTCCTCGTCCTCTACCACGCATTCCACCACGACCACCCATATTATTACCTCCCCCCATTCCTCCCATTCCCTCAGAATTTCCACCATCCATTCCGTCATTCATTTTCTGTAAATAAATTTATAATTTAAAAACAAGTGTATTTAAAATTTTTTGATTAAGTAAATTAAATTTATGGGGCATTCTATGGGAAATTTTCATTGAAAATTTTTTTTTATCCGAAACATTTTTTTTCGAAATCTATATGAAAAATATATTGACATTAATAAAAATATTTTATTAAAAAATCATTAATTATTTTCTAAAAAAAAAAAGAAAAACTCACCATTCCATCGTTTCTTCCACCTTGTCCTCCACCGCGACCACCGGAGAATCGAGAACCACCTCTACGATGTCCTCCAGGACCTCCTCCTCCACGGCCGCCGACGCCGCCGACGCCGCCGCCACCACGTCCACCTCCAAATCCTTGATTTCCAGGTCCTCCACCACCTCCTGGACCAGAGTGTGCGTTATCATTATTACTTTTCTCCTTTGCATTATTCTGTTGAGCTTGAGGTGCACTATCTTGAGATGCGTTATCTTCACCCATTTCGTATATACAAAATAACCTTCCTACTCAAAGGTTAATTGTAAAAAAATCACGATAAAACTGATTCACTACTGATGGCTTTTGAAAACAACAATTACTAAATATTAAAATACAAAATGACAATCAATTGAAAGCATTAACAGTATGTGATTGTCACTTATCACAAATACAATGGCGTCTTATCGCGTCTTACAGTGTTGCCAATATGACGGTATTTACAAATTCTGATCTAAACGGCGGCGGGAAATTTGACAGTTAAAAAAAAATTGTCAATTATAATTATATAATCATTTAAAATTATAATTGTATTTTATACATCCGAGTGAAATATAAAATTCTTTAATTACACTGTTAACTCTTTAAATTAATTAACATTTTAATCAAAAATCTTTTTGATTGCAGCGCTCTACTCTTGTTGGCATTTTAAAAACTAACTATTGCTTCACAATGCGTTTAGTACTCCCACCCTTGAAGTTTCCATAGAGTTGTTTACTAGATTGGCGGGAATAGCTGAAAATGGCCGAAACATTGTTTACACGTGTCAGAACAAGTGAAAAATATTTCATTAATTGCAATAATATTTTGTTATAATTAAATAAAATAACTTAAAAAATCAACTAGTTTAAATTTGTTTCAATAATCAATAAAGTGTTAATAGTTGAGTAACATTTTGTTCTAAAATTTTTAATAGGAAAACTATAAACAAAAATTGTAAGCTTGATTTCAAATCGTTTAATTTATTTTATGTTTTTAGATTAGTGCTTTATTTATTTTTTTTTTTGACGGGTGTTGTAAGTTTACATTAAAAATGGAAATAACAGTGCGAACACCTCAAAGTAAAAGACGAAAGTATGGTGTTATAAGAAAAGACGAATCTGATGAAAATTATCCCTGTGATTTACAATTTTATAAGGAGCCACCAAGTGGCAAAATTTCACTTGTTGAATTTCAAGAATTGGGATTAGAAAGATTAAAAGGTATATTTTTTCTATATTAGAATCGCGAATTCTCTCGAAAAGAAAAAAAAAATATTTTTGATAGAGGATTAAAATTTTTTACTTATTTTTCAAATTGATAACATATTCTTAAATTGGTTTTTTTTTTTTTATAGTTTTACAATTAGTTGATTCTGTCTCTATTCAAGAAAATAAATCACAAGATGATTTTAAAAAACAATTGGAAACAGCTTTAAGAAAAGAACATATTATGTATCAAAAATTATTAACAAGCACTGGTACATCGTGTTCAATTGAAGCAAGAAGAAATGATCATATTTCTCATTTTATTTTGAGATTAGCTTATTGTCAAACGGATGATTTAAGAAATTGGTTTATATCTAAAGAAGTGGAATTTTTTAAATTAAGATTCACTAATCTCGCTCCGGATAGTATAAAATTAATTTTGTCAACAAATAATTTTGATTTTTCCCTGGTGAGTAATTAATTTTTTAATTTTTAACAATTATAAATTGCTTTAAAAAGGAAAAAAAAAAAATCTGAAACAATTATTAATTTCCACGTCGGTTAAGTTCACAACATTCATGAATATATTTTAAATATTTTTTAATTAAAAAATTCTGTAAAATTTAATTATTCACAGAAATTAACAAAAAAGTTACAGCAATTAAATTTTTCAAAAATATCAATTTGAAATCATTTAAAATTAAATTATTTTAAAAAAATTTTAATTTATAACCTTCTAAAATTTAATTACTTTTAAAATTTACGAAGCTGAAGTACGCAACGTTTATGATAAACGATTTTTTAAAATGAAAAATTCTATAATTTTTTGCTTAAAAAATATTTTTTTATAATTTGTTGATTAATGAAAACTACAAGAAATAATTTTTTGGGCAAAGAATGATAGAATTTTCTATTTTAAATAATTATTTCTTTAAAAATCGTTTATCATCAACGTTGCGTACTTCAGCTTCGTTAAAATTTTCAATATAAAACTGTCAGTAATTTAATTATTTCTTAAAATTTCAATTATAAAACTTCCAAAATTAATTTATTTTAAAAAACTCTTAAATTTTAAATTAATTGTTAAATTAGTGTCATTTTTAATTAAAAATTCTGTAAAATTCTCTTTCAAAAATTCAATTATTATTTTACTTTCTAAATTCAATTATTTTTAAAAATTGCAAACAAAAACTTTCAAAATTTCAATTGTAGTCAGAAATTTAAAAAAAAAACTACCTACAGCAATTTATTTATTTATTCAAATTTTCAAAAATTTATTTCAATTTAGAATTTTTTGAAATTAAGAATTTTTTTTAGAAATTTGTCTTATTGAATTAAAATCTTGAAAATTTAATGTCTTAGTTCGTTTCTGAAATATTCGAAATAAAGTTTCTTGATAATATTCCTAAAGAATTATTCTTATTGTGTAATTAATAAAATTAATTTAATATCTAATAACAATAGTTTATTTTAAATAAAATATTTATTACCTAATTAAATTTATTAAAAATAAAAAATTGACGTTTTCGACTTTTCTTGAAATGTAAAACGACTTTTTTTGCACCCTAAAGTCGATCCGAGACCTTTCTTTAATTTATTCTAAAAAAAAAATTCTTTCTAAAGGTTTCCGAAGAAGAAAAGAATGAATTAAGAGATAAATTATTTTCCATAAGAGAAACTGACAGTAGTTTGGATTACTATAAATTACCCTTTGAAAAAGTCACTGATTTAGTGAAAGATAGAAAAGTATTTATTAAAAAAGGCATGGCTTATGTACCTCATCATGATTTGGTTTCTGTTATTGTTTCCATATACAAGGAACATTTAAATAAAATGATGGATGTAAGTAGAATTATTAAAAGAATTTTTGTTTTTTTTTTAAACAATTTTTTTAATTTAAAAGATTTTCTAATTTAATATTATTACATTTTTTCTCTATTAATTTTATTAATATTTAATGTTTACAGATTGCAAAAGAATATTTGGAAAATATATCAACAGATGAAAGACTCACAGGTTTTTTAAAAAATCTTCCACAATCTTTTTCTGGAATGACAAAGGCTGTTTGGTCAACGGAAACAACACCTATTTCAATGTTAGACGAAGTAAGTTAAAATTAATTTCATTAAAAATTAATACAAACTTGTTAAATCGGCAATAATCAATAAAGATTTATTATTTTTACAAATTATAATAATTGTATATATAAAAAAAAGATTAATTTTAATATTCTAATTTTGTTTTTGTTTTTTATCAGTTATCGAAAATATCGTATCCACTTTGTATGAGAACACTTCATGAAGCATTAAGAAGAGATCATCATTTAAAACACGGTGGTCGTCAAGAGTATGGACTTTTTTTGAAAGGCATTGGAGTGAGTTTGGAAGATGCATTAATTTTTTGGAAACAGGAATTTTGTCAGAAAATGGATGAGGATAAATTTAATAAACAATATCGTTATAATATTCGACATATGTATGGTAAAGAGGGAAAGCAGACAAGTTATACTCCATATGGATGTACAAAAATAATCACCGAAATGGTTGGTGCTGGTGAATATCATGGATGTCCATATAAACAAATGCCAAAAGATATTTTAAAATCTAAATTATGTTCATATGGATTACGCTCTGAAAGTAAGTTATTTTTAATTTTATAATTTTCCTTTTTTTTCCCCCATAATTATAATATGAGAAGTTATTATTTACATATTAATAAATTTTTTAAATTATTGCTAGCTAAAAAAAACCATGAAAATAGCACAAAAAAAAAAAATTGCTATTTAATTCTGAAATTATTTACAAATTAAAATTATTCACAAAAATTGTGTGAAATTATTTTTTCACAATTATAATAAAAATATTATATTTTTAATTACAATTAATTTAAGACAAATATATTTGTTACTCAATTTAAAGAATACAAGAAGAAGGGCGAAATTCTTGAGTATCTACGCTTAAACAATATCAGCCTCTAAGTAATTTTTGTGCACTTTTACATAAAATATTAAAGTGAAAAGTTTTTTTTATATAATTTAATTTATTTAACGTCTTTTAATTTTATGAATTCTACGGGAAAAATAGACAAAAAAAAAAATTTTTATTTAACTCACTTTTTAGACGTAACTGAAATCGCAGATCTTGCGGCAAGTGGCCATTACAATTTAGCTTGTCAAATGTGTTTCGATGTTACACATAAACGTCCACCGGGAAGGCCAATTGTTCATCCAAATGTTTATTATGCCGAAAGTCGAGAATTACTCACCAAAGGATCAAGTGATTCAAGTCAAAAAGATGGCGATAAATTGTCACAAAATATGAGAGGAAAATTAGAAACTCCTACGAGAAAAACAGAATCTCCTAGGACAACAATAAAAAGAGAGAAAAAAGATGCTGATTCTGAAATTATTGAAATTAATAATGAGGACTTTGACGATATGTTTTAATCTTTTTTCTTTTTTTTTTAAGTCGTATAAATATAATGTTAATTTAGAGACATTTAATTATATACTATGTATATTTCTTCTAACAACGAATTCATTACAAAATATCAATCAAGAAGCAATTACTAAAAGTAAGGAAATTACACGTTGTCATAATTTATCAGATTTTATTAAAAAAAAAAAAAAAAAAAGAGAGAGAGAAATGAAAATGACAAAATTGTCGTATTTAATTTTCAAACATAACTATTCACTTCCTGGAGTCGATTAAATTTAGGTAAGAAATTTTCACTAACATCACGAACCATTGCGTGAACGAGTTTCTCAATATTATAATTGTGTTGCCATCCCCAATCTTCTCTTGCTTCACTGTCATCGAATACTTGAGGCCACGAATCAGCTGAAATTTGAAAATAATTTTCTTTATAATTTTATTTTAAAATTTTAGTCTATTAATTTTTATTATTCTAGTCAATTTTATTGAAATAGAATTTAATTTTAATATTTTTTATTTTATTAGTCATAATTATTTGAAAAAAAAAAAACAAAAGTATTTCAAGTAATTTTTCAGGGAAAATTCACCAATGAGTTGCCTGCTATCGGGATTGTAAGAAATTTGCAAATCAGGAATATATTTTGTCAATTCAGTGAAAAGTTCCTCGGGAGTGAAACTCATTGCCGTGACATTATAAACTCTTCTTCGTAATTTATCATTTGGAGTGTTCAAAAATTGAAAAAGTGATGAGAGACAATCGTCAATATACATCATTGGCAATCGGGTATGTGGCTCCAAATAACAATCATATTTTTTATTTAATAATCCTTCATGAAAAACAGCAACTGCATAATCTGTAAATACAAAAAAAAAAAATTTTTTTTTTTATATTTGAAATGTAATACTGAAAATTTAATACAGAGAATGAAGGTCTGTGAAGAAAATGAATGTTTTTTTTTTCTGTAAAAGAAAAAGGTAAACGACACGAGAATATCAAGTTTAGTTTACAGTTCTTCAATTACGAATGCGCCTTCAATATAGATTTTGTCTGACGTTATTACACAATTAAGTTAACCGCTGATATTCTATATCGTGCTCTAGTTCACAGAGAAAAGAGATTTCGCAGTTAAATGCTGCCTGATTTCCATTTGTTTTATATATATATATAAATGTATATTCAAACTAAAGTTGAATTTTTTTTTTTTTTTGAAAAAAATCGCCCCTATTAAAAATTTTTCTTTTGGAAAAAAAAAATTTTACACATCGGAAAAATTGTCTTTTATTTTCAGAAACTTTTTTTAAACAAAAGAAAAATAATACTAAGAAAAATATTTATCAAATAATTTAAAATAAAAATAAAAAAGTACCGTTTACAGAATTATGGAACACTAGAGGTAAATATAGAAGGAGCAATTTTTTTTTTTAAGTAAAAATTTTATAAATTATTTCATTTTAGTTCTTGTTTTAAATAATAGTTTAATATTTTGCCTAAAAAGTAAGCATTAATTTTTTTATATTTATTGAAAGTTTTTTTTTTTGTTAATGAAACTTAGAGGAGTTAATTGTTCAAAAATAAGTTTTCCAAACAATAAATTAATAAAAATAGAAAAAATTTTATCAATAAAATAATATTTTTTTTTGTTACCAGTAGTTCCACCACCTGGCGGATCACTGCTGATAACTCCAGGGAATCGTAGACAACGAAAATCTAAACCAAATCTATGATGATAATATTCGCCAAGAAGTTCTGCGTGAACTTTGCTGACACCATAAATTGTTCTTGGTCTTTGAATTGTAACATTTGGAGTTGGATTTCTTGGCGAATCGGGACCAAAAGCACCAATAGTTGATGGTACGAAAATTCTCAAATTATATTGTTTTGCCAGTTCAATAACATTGTGCATGCCTAATTATAATAATAATATTAATATAATTAAAATAAAATCGCGAATGAGAGAAATTTTCATAAATGCATGGTTTCAAAAAATAATAACAATGTTGAGATAGAAAAAAAAAGAAATGAATAGTACAAGTGTTTTAAAGACAACTGTTGAGTTAATTTACTTTCTCTAGTTTGCTTTCTATAGCGACATTTTTTTTCCAACAATTAACGCACGAAAGTGAAAAAAAAAAAAATTCAATTCTTTCAAAAGTGACAATTCTACAAAATTGTAATAATTTAATTAATATTGCCAATATCAAACTCTCGATAAATAGAATATAATTATTATTATTTGGAAAATTGACATTTTCAAATTAAATTCTCTAAATATAATTTTAAATTATTTATATAATTAATTTTATTATTAGAAGAATTTTATATTCGTTTATTTAATAATTGAGCCTTATAAAATATATTCAATTATTAATTTTTTAATTAAATTTATTTTAATTAATGAAAAAATGTTTTTTTAAACATAATTTATAATTAATCACCTTCGATATTTACTCGGACAGCGAGGGGAACATTTTGTTCACCAACAGCACTTAAAAGTGCACTAAAATGAATTAGCCAATCTATTCTATGATTAACGACAATTTTTTGAAGTCCTTTAAAATCAAGGATATCAGCAAAAATAAATGGTCCATTCGAAAGACCTTCTTCAGTTGGTTTAATAATATCTGACAGTATGACATTTTCGTTTCCATAATTTTTTCGCAATAGCTTCGCACATTCTGTGCCTAACTGACCCAATCCGCCTGAAAAATTTATTGACATTTAAAAACTTACAATATTCAATATTTAAATTATTTTTATGATTTATATTTTATTGCAAAAAAAAAAAATTATTTATACTTTTTCTTTTGTTTAAAAAATATTTTTTAAAAATGTCAATTTTAAAAAAAAAAACTAAAAAATATTTCATGAAAAACAAAAAAAAAAATTATAAATATATATAGTTTTGCCTGTTTATTAAAAATTAATTCACTGACAATGAGTCATTAATTTATTCTCTATCTCGCGACTTTATTTTTGCAAAATGTCCTAAATGTTTTTATTGATTTTGTAAAATTTGTAATTTTTTTTATAAAAAATGATTATTTATTCGTATTATTCAACTAATTGTGAATTAATAAGTTTCTATTTAACATAAAAACGAGTAAACAATAAATAAAACAATAAATAATGTAAAAAAAACAATATTTAAAAAAATTAACATTTTTAAAACATGTTTATTTATTGTAAATAAATTAAGTTTCACAATAGTTTTTTTGTATCTTTTAATATAATTGTTTGTCACTTTTAATAATTTTTACAATTTAAAGAATTTAAATAAATATTTAATAATAATATTTAAAATAAAATAAATAATTTACCATAAAAAATTAAAACTGACCTGTAATTAATATTCTCGGTGGTCGTATAATGTGATTTGAATTGTCGTAAAGTTTTTCCTTTTCTCTACAAATAATTGCAGTCGAACTGAAATTCCTAATAAATTCTCTAGGAGCACTTTGTAAAATTCTTCTAAAGCCTCTGATTAACATAATTACAATTTAATTAACACCAAATCGATTTTTATTTCTTTGATTATAATTTGAAATTTTAATTTTTATGAAAAAAAAAAAAAATATTGAAACACACAAATTTAATAGAATTTATTAATAATAAAAATAATTTAAATTTATTAAAAATTATTTTTTCTATTTTTTTGTTACCACTAAAAATTCAGTTTTACTCAAAAATTTATAATTTTTAAATAATTAAATATTCGTTCTAATAAATATTTTCTTGTTATAAATAAAAAAATTATGTTATTTAAATTATTCTCTAATTTATTCATTTATTTAAATTTTCGAAGTATTATTATTATTTTTTTTTTTTTAATAAATATTTAACAAGAAGAATAGATTCGATCTCGTTCGAATTCTGAGATACTACTAAAGTAAAATTATAATAACGAAGACTGGAAATACTGTATAGGAGTTGAGTTTTATAAATCATTTTGAAAACCAGTTAGCAGATTGATGTATTGGTGGGTTTAGTATGCATTGTAAAAGAACTCCGAGGTGAATTGTAGGTTTGGATTGACTATCACATTCTTTCTTGTTTGTTTCTAATTTTTTTTTTTTTTTACCAATACCTTGCAATATATGAATGTAATTCTGCATGTACGTATATTTGCTTTCTCTGCGTTTTGACGTTAGATTTTACACAAAAACACACGTGGTTCAGAACACGTGCTATTGAAATCTTGTAAAACTTGTTTTCCACCTGTTACCCGATGTAAAATTATTTAAAGTTCCAGTTTCTCATTATTATTATTATTTATTTTATTATCAAGGTCGTAAAATATTTCGAATATTATTTTTCATATAATATAACATTATATAATATATTTTAAATATATAATAATGTTAATATTCTATAGTCTGAATTATAAAAATACATAGATAAAAAAATTTATTTGATTCAAATAATCGATTAGATACATGAATATTATCAAATAAAAATTATTTGGTTCAAGTAAATATTTTTTTTTTGATAATAATCCGATTATTTGAAACAAATAAATTTTTTCGCAGCGTAATTAATTGAAAATTTTAAATTTTATAAAAATGAAAAAGAAATAAAATATCCTTCCTTTTCTACAAGAAGAAAGATTGTGTAAAAAAAAATTTTTTTTTTTCAAAATTGTAACGGAATTTTTTTTTTTTTTTAATTTTAAAAGGAGTTCAAAGATTTGAAAGATGCTGACGTAAAAAGTAGATGGACCGGTTTCGAGGTTGGCAGTCTATATAGAAGTGAGGGCTTGGCAGAAAATTGAAGGATTCTATTGGTCAATTTTAATCATAGGACAGGAATCAATTTTTTTTATAACAGAAAGTTGATTTTTAGAATTTGATAAAAATAGCTTTAGCAGACAGATATTTTTTTAAAAATGAATCAGTGTCAAAAAAACGTAATATTTAAAAATGATATTAATTTTTTTTAAAATTAATTTTATTATTATTTATTTTATATAAAAAATAATTACAGGCATCATAGGTTAAAACTAAACTGGATTTTTGAAATTTTTAATTATAAATAATTAAAATAAATTAGGAATTTTTTTCCGTTTTTGCGAAAATGATGCTTTTTTTGAATTAAAAATTCTATATAAATTTTCGTTTCAAAGATAAAATTTTGTTTAATTTAAAGAAAAAAAAATAAAAAAAGAAAATTGAAAAAAAATTAAATTAAATTTTTTTTTGAAAGTTTGAAATTTTTTCCTCGTATGAATTTAGAATTCGGTATGAAAAGTGGAAATTTGTTGCAACAACCAGTTGCTACAATGACGCAAGAAGAAAATTATAATTATACAAAACTACAATTATTCTTTTTAGAAACCACAATCTTTTCGCCACCGATTTTTGTAAAAATGAAAACTACTTTTAATAAAAACTATTAAAATTTTTTTTTTATATAGAAAGTATATCTGAATCATTTTCGAAGTTTAGTATCACGAAGTAAAACAATTTTTTTTTTTAACTTGAAAAATTAGTAATCATATTCTAACAAAATTTATTTATTTGTAGTATAAACAGGCTTATAATAGAGAAAAATAAAAACGCTTTTTCGTACAAAATTAACTAAATTATAGTAATACACGGAAAGAAAATAAATATCAAATTTTATAAAAGTATTTCAAATTTCATGAAAGTATTTTTTACAAAAATTTTAATATACCTATTGTAAATTTCATAAAAGTTTATTAAAGATTAGTATTTCTTTTATGAATTATTATTATTATTTTATAAGAAAAAAATAAAAAAAATATAAAAATAAAAAAGAACAACTTTTTTTCTTTTCATGAATTTTTTTTCATATTCTAATATTTTTGTTAATAAATAAAAAAAACTCGAAAAATTCGTTTAATTTTTCAAACATAAATCATTGTATCTCCGATAATTATTAGAGTCTACTAAAGCAAATAAAATCCAAAAAAGTTAAAAAAAACGCTTTTATTGTTTAATTATTTTTAATTACAAATTGAGAGTTTTTTTTAGTTTCAATAACAAAAAGTCTGCGAGTTTTAAAATTGTAAGTTCTTCTCTTGATACATTTGTTTAATATTACGAAAGTCTTCTGGAAATTTTCAAATCGATTCATAAAAAGATTTTTGAAAAATTTAATTTTCAATAAAAACCATTATTTATGTTTTAAAAATTAATTGAATTAGAGAAGGAAATTTTTCCAGTTTTTTTGCAAAAAAAAAAAAAAATTCATAAAAAAAAGTTGCCATTTTTTATTTTCTGTAAGGTAATTGAAAAATTAAAATTTTGACAATTAACATTTTTACACTTTTTGACTAGCTTGACTCACTTGAAAACGACCGGCCGAGCGTGGCGGTTGTTATGCCCCTCAATTTTCAAAAAAAAAAAAAAAGAAAAATTAAGAAACCCACGACAAATATTGAGGAGTGAGGTGGAAAAGAATTTTAACGATACGTCAATTTGAATGAAGATACAATATACATAAGAGGGAAAGAGAAGATTTCCTGGAAGCGTGTCTTCACGGTGTCTGAATACGCACTTCGCAATCCTCTTTCTTCCCCTCTTATCTCAATCACCCCACCTTCTTCTTGTACACAATAATGTTCCCTCACTTGGTGTACTCATGATTTTTTTCCAAAGAAAACATCTTCAAAATATACTTTAGTACACATTTGAAACTAGACTATGAATGATAATATAATGGTTACAATTTTAAACCTTTGATAACTTATAAAAAAAAACATGTGAAGTGTATATTGTGCTGATTTATTTTCAATTATACAAGTCATCAATTTTTTTTTTTTTTTTTTTTGCAATTTCGTGTGATTACTTACGTTTTTACGCTTCCGTGGATTTTTCTTGCGCTGTTCCTGTTGATTCACATACATATATAGGTAATTGCAAAAATTGGATTTGTAAATAAAGATCACGTGATTGGGTTTTACTTTCTAGATAATTTTTTAATTAAGATAAAGTACAATTAATTTAAATAATCTTAAAAATCTTTTCACTTAAAATAATTAAATTAGATTGCAATTTTTAAAAAAGGAAAAAAAAGTTTTATTTTTTTATTTCACAAAATCTGATATTTTAATTAGATAATTGAATTTCTTTCGCTATTATAACAATTTTTAATTTACTTTATTTTTTTGTTTTTTTATTATTATTATTATTATTATTATTATTATTATTTATTCCATGTACGCCTTTTAATAGTTTATTTACATTGATAATTTACTTTGTTATTATTATAAATTGTTTTTATCATATTTTTTTTTATTGACGAAAAAATTATTGGGTGTTTAATTTTTGAGACGATTTCAATTTTTTTTTTTTTTGGTTATAACATGAAATAATAATTAAATCACTAGATTCTACCAAATATTTTCAGTACTAATTACACCAGAAAGTTACATAATTTTTGACGATTAGAATCATCGGACGTTGAGGGAATTATCCAGGAAGTTAGGTACCACTTTCTCCTGAATAATAAATCAGTCGATTTCAGGAGTTTGTACTTTTGATGATTTAAGAAAAAAAAATAATAATTAGAGTGAAAGTAATTAATTTTTCTTATACTTGTTAATTTACCTAATTTATTGAAATCTTTTCAAAATATAATAAAATATGAATCAACAATCAAATGATAATAATAAAAATAATAATATCTCAAATAATTTCTGTCAATGAATTTTTAATAATAAGAGAAATTTGAAATGTTGGAAATGATTATTAAAGTAATTTTTATAAAATTTATTTCTACTTTATCGAAAATTTGAAAATTTATTAAGTAATCTACATTGATATATTTTGTTATTATATTTTGTTTCCTCTACGAGGAAGCAAATTTTCATTTTATTGTTTTTCAACTAAAAATGTGATTATTACTATCTACTTTGAATAATGCTTATTATTTTATTTTTTTATTTATTAATAAAAAAAACAGACTCAAGGCCTTTAAGTACACTGTATGGATAATATACATTATTATAAGATAGAAACAATTATATAATTTCTTTTGGTTAATTAATAATTTTTTTTAAAAATTCTAAAAATTATTTTTTTAAATAATTATTATAAATGAAAAATTCTAAAATAATCATTAATCATAATAATTATAAAAATCTAAATATAATTAAAAGTTAATATTCATTTGAAAAATAATTATCATCTTTATAATCTAGAATTTTAGATTATCCTTTAAAAATTCTAAGAAAAATATTAATTAAAATCACTCGATTTGGAAAAATGGGCCAATTTTTTGCAACTTTGATTCTTTTCAACTGACCGGCTTTTCAGGGCGTCAGATATTATTCTATAGACTAATGAAATATGTGTTATGAAACTTTACTCACTTGAAATATCATTCTAAAATGAGTTCAGAGTTTTAGTAAAATAAAATTTAATTTTTTTCTGTTTTAACTGTTCTTAATGTGTAAAATAATTTAAATCACTTATTATCAATTTTTATAGGAACCGGAAATGATATTTACTACATATTTTTATAAAAAAAAAAAAAAAAAAAATTAGCTTATATAGAAAATTAACAATATTATTTTGAATAAATAAAAAAAATTTATCTTTTAAACATAAATAATGAAATTTAATAATTATATAATAATAAAATGCTTGGTCTGTCCTTCTGTCCTAACTTGAAGTTGGCCTTTTCTGATTTCAAGTGTTTTTTTGAATAGTAATCTTATAACGTGTCAAATTTTGACAATTCTTTTTTTCATTTTTGCCAAAGTTGTATAATTGTGTTTCCAAATTTCGGAATAAGTTTCTTTAAAATTCCAAATTCGAAAATTTAATTCACGAAGCTGAAGTAAACAACGTTTACCAACGAAATTTTTTTTAAAGTTGTATATTGATTAAAAAATTATATACAAATACAAAAAATTTATGATGAGAAAAAAGATGCGCCAGGAAATTTCGTACAAGATAGTAATTTGAAAAAAAATTAATTTTTAAGATACCAGGGGCCAACGAATACCTATTAAATATTAATTATAAAAACACAGGCCTCGAATCAACTTAAAGATACAAAAAGTCGTTTTAGTCGATTTATATTCCCAAAAAAAGTGGATTTGTTTTTTATTTTAACAAAAATATTTTACAGATTTTTAAATAAAAATTTTTTTTTTTAATAATAATCCTTTTCGAAGGGCTAAAGTTGAAATTTTTAGAAATAATTAAATTTCAAAAGTTATTGTTAATTTTCAAACAATTATTAAATTTTACAGAACTAAAAATAATTTATCAAACAATTTTTGGAAAACATTTTTGAAATTTAATTGAATTTTCAAAGATTTAAAATTGAGATTTTTGAAATTAATTGAAACTTTAAGTGTTTTGTAATTAAAATTTTAGATGACTTCACTAAAAATTTATTAGAAAATGCGGATAAAATACAATAATTTGAATATCATTTTTAATTGAAACATGGTTTCAGATAGTTGAAATTTCAAAGAATATTATTAAAATAGTTAAAAAATAATTGAATTTCTTTAGAGTTATAATTGAAATTATTAAATTTCAAAAAAAAAAAATTTTCGATGGAAAATTTTAGAAATAATTAAATTTTAGATGCTTTTAAATTTTAATTATTGAAAATTCAATTAATTTTGAATTCAAATTTTTGAGAATAATGAAATTTTATTTGATTTTAAATTGAAAATTTTTGGGAAATAATTGAATTTTAATTGAAATTTTGGATAATAATTTAATGTAAGTTCATTTTTGATTAAAAATTTGGATAATTAATTTTGAATAGAAATGTTAGGAAATAATTGCATTTTATTTCATTTTAAATTGAAAACTTGGTAAATAATTAAATTTTAAATTGAAAATTTTGGATAATTATTGGATTTTTAATTGATTTTGAATTAAAATTTCGGGTAATAATTGAATTTTAGTTTATTTTGAATTGAAATTTTTAAAAAATAATTCAATTTTATTGTGATATTTTTTTTTTAAATTATAAACAATTGTTAAATTTCATAAAAATTTTAATTGAAAAATAATTTTTGATATAATTGAATTTGTGATGTATTTCATTAAAATTATTAAAAATAATTAATTTAGTGAAGAATCATTTTAGTTCAAAATTTGTTAAATAATTGAATTGAAGAAGATCTGAAGAAGATCTGAAGAAGATCTACATTTTATACTAGAAAAATGTATTTTATTTACATTTTTTTCAAATGTAAAAAAAAATGTCGCATTTTATTAAAAAAATTAAATTATTATTGATAATATTAATCTTTAATTTCTTTATAACAAACAATTAAATACCCTATTTGGCGCGCGTTTAATTTTGCTAGTACAGTTAATAAACAAATAAATAAAATTATTTTTTAAATTCAATATTATGTGAAATTACATATTTTGTAAAATTAAATTATTTTCATCTTCAATTATTTTAATTTTCATTGATCGATTTTGAAAAAAAAAATTAAATTTTACATTTGAAGTTTAAATAGGTATAATATTATTAGTTTCAATTATTTAATTTTTTTTTTAAATTGAATTATTTTATTATTTAATTTATCAGATATGTTATTAATTTATTTAATTATATACTTTATTATCTTTTTAATTAGGTTTAAACTTATCTAATTACAGTCATTTTTTTTTAAATTCAAAATTTTGTTCAGAAAGTTTTTTACAATTGTTTGCGTTGAAAATTTTCGAGAATCCTAGCAGTAGAACCAAAATTACTCTTTGAAGACATAGAAGGTGTTAATGTAATGCACGCGTGACACACTAATTATTGCGGACAACTATTGTCCTAGCGGTCTTTATCCTACGGTATGAACATCAATTTTGTCGCCTGTGACCGTGACACTTCCGATGTTTCTTACTATAAATACGATGAGCCTCAAGGGCCAAATAATATACACAAAACACCTACAATCCCATAATAATGACTTAGGTATTCATAATACACACTTCAACTCTTATTATCTCTTGAGAAATAAATTTTTATTTTATCTCAAATTCATAAACTTCCCAAATTATTTTTTTTAGTGTCTTTTTTCGTAATCGACAAATTTTTATCAAAAAAAAAAATAAATAAAAGGAAATGTAAATAAGAATCGAATTACGAAAACAATTGTCTTTTAGAAAATAAGAAATAAAAATAGGTAGAGAAGAAACAGGAAATGCTGAATAATTTTTTTACTGTTTTATTTAATTAATAATGAAAAAATATATTAACAAACGCATTCCACGTGAGATTTTTTTCATTCAAAATTTTTTATTAACTGGAACATTTTTCTTTTTTTTGCAATTTATGAAAAATAAGAAAATACGTTTTTTAAAATAATTAATAATTAAATAATTAAATAATTTTATTGCCAAATCTAGTTATATAAATTCAAGTTAAAAACAAATTAAATTAATAAGAATAAAATACCAATGACTTTTTTTTAGTATAATCTGTGTAGCTCTTCCAAAATTCAATTAATTTGAAAAATTTTAATCCAAAAAGTATTTGTGAAATTAATTATTTTCAATACTTATAATGAAATTTTTCAAAAAATCAATTCTTCAAATTCTTGTAAAATTTAGCAATTTAAATTTATAAAATTTTCCATTTAAAATCTCCTGATATTTGTTTATAATTCAGGTTAATTATTTTTAATAATTTCAACGAATTTCTTCGAAAATTGAATTATTTTGAAATATTTTTTGAAACATTTAATTAAATTTTTTTAATATTTAATTATTATCTGTAATTTGTAAAAAAAAAAATATATATTCAGCAATTCAAATTTTACAAAAATTTCAATTTAAAACCTCTTAAAATTCAATTATTTCTAATTAAATATGTAACTTTTTCAAAATTTAATTGTTTTTAAAATTATCTAAAATTCTTTCGCTAAATTAATAATTTTCAATAACATTAATCAATTATTTTCAATTCAAGTAATTTTTATTTTAAATTTTCTTCTAATATTCAATTACCTATAATTAAAATATTTTTAGGTAAAAAATTCTCCCATTTCTCATAAAATTATTTTATTTTTAAAAAGTTACTGGAAATTTTTTTTTAAACCATTCTACGTTCAAAAAAAAAAAAGAATTTTTTTGAATGAAAATCTCACAGGAAATACTTCATAGAGGAATAATTTATTATAATTTTTTTTTTTTTTTTAATAAAAAATAAATAAATAATTTTATTGAAGGACTATTTAAAAGTGGGTATGATCACTTTCTAAATTGTATTACATGTTAATTCGTCCTTGAAATAAGAGGATATACTTATAATACATATAAATAAATAAATAAAATAATAGTGTGATCTTTCACACGTTAAAGGATTCGATTCAATAAGAGTAAGAGTGACGTTTTCCTTTGCAGGCAATGTGGCATTGGATTGCTTCACGGATCTGAGTTTGTCAAGGTGATTGTCCAAATGCATCATGGGTAAACCACCGGATGGTGGAGGTTTATTCATAGCGAGCTTTCTCGTTCTTTATTCGATTAGTTCGAATGCTCAAATCAATCCTGAATATGGATGTCCTTCTCAGGAGAAAATTTTACCTTGCCGATGCTCCACTCGTGATATGGAGTATCAAATTTGGTAATCATTTTTTTTTTCTACTAAAAATTAAATTATTATTATTTTTTTTTTTTGATAACAATAGAAATACAGGATTGCAACAGACCTGGAAAACATGGAATTGTCATGGAAATTTTTTATAGTCATGGAAAATCTGAAAATGTTGCAGGGAATTTTATGAAATATCATTTTGAAAATTTAATTCGAGAGAAAATCTCAAGTTTCCAAAAATTTACATTACAACAAATACGTCGGTATAGTTCACAACGTTTATGATCAACGATTGTGAAGAAAAAATATTTTTCTATGCAAATTATTATTATTATTATTTTTGATATAGAACATTTTTTGTAACGTTTCTTGAACAATAAATTTTTTGAAATAAAATTTGTAGGCAAAAAATTAGTTATTATTTTTTGAGTGAACAAAGTAATATATTTTTTTTCAATCGTTAATCATAAATGTTGTAAGCGAATTCTATCTATTAAATAATTGAAAATTAGTTGAAATAAAAATTTGCCTAAATAAAAGTTTTGTTAAATAAAAATTGAGATAAGTGAAAATTCTTTTAAATAAAAATTCGCTAAAGTAGATATTTGAAAAAATATACAAATAGAAATTTCATTAAATGAAAAATCAATTAAACAAAAATTTTTCGATAAGAAAATTCTATTCATTATGAATTTTATTTTTATAAAATTTGGTTAAATAGAAATTCAATCTTGTTGACATTGAAACATGGAAAAAAAAATCGTTATTTTTAATTTCAGGCTTCACAGTGTTTCCCCTATTTTTCCTCTATTTTACAAAATTTCCCTTTTCTCTCCTTTTTTAATGAATATTTCTCATATTTTTCACTCATTTCACCTATTTTATGTTGAAACTCGAATAATGGGATATTTAATAAAAATACAAATTTGAACCAAAAAAAAAATTACAAGCCTCAGATTGCATGACTTTTTTTTTTTATCTAAAATTCTTCGCTAAATAAATTATTTCAATCATTTTAATTTAATTTTTCAAAAAATTCAAATTTTTTTTTTATTAAAATTTCTTTAAAATTCAATTACTGTTTAAAATTTTGTCAATAATTTTCAGCAATTCAAATTTACAACAATTTCAATTAATAAATTAATTTTTTTCAATATTTTAATAAATTTCTTTAAAAAATTTAATTATTTAATTAACATTTGGCAAAATTTTGAATTCAAATAATTTGTACAATGACTTGGAATTTTTTCTTCTTTTAAAATAATTTTAAATTATTATTTTTCAAAATTTTGTCCCACTAAATTAGGAAAATTGGAATTCCATTTTTTTAACAGAAAATAAATTTTAAAATTTAATTTAAATTAATTAAAAATTTCAGTTTTCTTTGAAAAATATATGAATAAAATCAAGTTTTGTATATTTTACAGTACGGTTTTTTGGTTTGATAAAATAAAAAATTACTTGCATTTTTTAAGAAAAAAATTTGTTAAGAAGTAATTTTCATTATGTGGAAAATTAATTTTAAAATAAATTTAAAAAATAAAAAGCGTTTATTTATTAGATGTATGCAATTCAAATTTTTATAAAACATTAAAAATGATATTTTAAAAAAAAAATTGATTACTATTCTGGGAAAATCTCTCCTTTAAATCTCACTTTTCTCTATAAATTTATCATTTTTTTTTTTTTGAATTTTGGAAATAAAATTTTGGTTTTTATACTTTCTATGTTTAAAAATTTTTTGTATTCATCAAAGAAAATGGGTGGTTTCAAAATTTTTACCGGTAATGAAATTTAAAACAACTTTAAAGCATTTTTGGTTAAGGAAAATATACATTTAGATTTTACTCTATTTTTCTCCTTTTTTCAAACAAAATTTCCCCTATTCCCATTTTTTTTTTTTTTTTTTTTTTTTAGCAAATTTTATGCTGTGAAGTCTGAATTTTAATGAATTTTGCGGTTTCTTGCAAGAAATTAAATAGAATATTTTATTGTCAATTTAATTGAAATATTTTGTATTTTTTTTTTTGGCGTAATTGGCTAAAAATTTATTAAAATAAATTTATATTTGGGTCTGGAATTTTTTTTCAAAATGATCTGAAAAACCTGGAAAGGTCATGTAATTTTAAAATTAGTCTTTCGTGGCAACCCTTGTAAATATATATGTAATAATTGAATTTTATAAAATAAGTGAATTACAAAATTAAATTTTTTTTTAAAAAGATATTTTCACAACAAAACCTTTTTTTTTTACAAAAAATATTCTAATTATTGAATAAAATTTCAACAGGTGCAGTCACAGTGAATTGCCAAAAGTTCTCGAGGGATTGAAAGCAGTGAGTCTTCATGTGTCGCGACCAATTGATGAATTAATTCTTGAGAACAATAATTTACCAAGTTTACCAGGACAGGCGTTCGCGAGTCTTCGAGTTTTAAGATTAATGTTAAGGAACAATCGTTTAGAAAGAGTGTCATCCGGTTGGCTTGAGGGTCTTCACGATTCTCTATTGGAACTTTTTGTTGTTGAACCGGAACTTCGTTCATTACCAGACGATAGTCTTGAAAATCTTTTAGGTCTCGAGGCAATTACATTACAGAGTAAAGTTCTCAAACGACTTCCAAGTCTCACAGGACTTCCAAAATTACGTTATCTTCAAGTGAATTCACCTGCTCTTCTTGAATTGACACCACGTAATTTTCGCGATATTCCAAATCTTGAACAAATTCATGTTTTTGGTAGTCCCAAATTGGCGCGATTAGAAGCGGGACTTTTTCGTAATTTACCAAGATTAACATTGGTGAATATTAGCGATTGTAGTATTCAATGGATTCATCCACGTTCACTCATTGATTTACCTGAATTAAAGGAAATTTCATTTATTGGAAATACAATACTCGAAGCTGGAATGGTTGGTCGTGCTGTTATTGATTTACCATCATTATCAGTATTACAACTTGATCGTAATCGTATTGTAAGATTAGGTGAATCATCATTCACTGATCTTCCAACATTGACACGAATTTCATTATCAAAAAATCGTATCACCGAAATATTTCCCGGTGCATTTCAAAGAGTTTCATTATTGAGAATTATTGATTTAAGTCATAATATGATACATCGAATACATCCGGAATTTTTTCCACATCGTAGTGGAAGTAGCCTTGAGGAATTATGGTTAATTAATAATGATTTGAGTCATATTAATGAATTACGTTCAATATTAGAGGCATTGCCAAGATTAAAATTTCTCGATGTGAGTTATAATCAATTGGAGGAAATTCCCTATGGATCGTTTAGAGGGCATCCATCATTGGAAAGATTACATTTGGATCATAATAGATTGAAATATTTGCAAAGAGAATCTTTAAGTGGAATGCCAGCATTAAGGGAATTACGTCTTAGAAATAATTCATTGACAAATTCATTGGATATGCCATTTTGGAATTTACCCGCATTAAAGGTGAGAAATATTAATTAATTAAAATTATATAAAGTAATGATAGATTTTTTACAATGTAATTTTTTTAAAAAATTATTTTAGGGACTTGATATTTCGGGAAATTATTTTCGTCACATTGAACCACGACTATTGGGAAATCTTCCAAATTTAAGACGTTTGGATATAAGTCAAAATGCAATAGGTCACATTGATCCTCAATCTTTCATTGAAACATCAGCTCTTGAATATGTGAATATTTCGGGAAATGCACTATCCGTGATTCATCCAATGACATTTAGACATTTAACAAATCTTTTTGAGCTTGATATAGGATGGAATCGTTTATTGGAATTAACACCTGGATTGCCGAGAAATATTGAACATCTTTATTTGACAATGAATCGATTAGTTTCACTGCCTGGACTTGCATCACAAGATCTTGCACTTCCTGTTTTACGAACATTGGACATAAGTGCAAATGGCATTGAAAGAATATTGCCCGGCACATTAAGTGGTTTAGTGAGTTTGAAGAAACTTCTTCTTGGCTATAATGCACTTCGTGTACTTGAGGATGGAACATTTGATGGACTTTTTCGTTTGGAATTATTGGATCTCAAATATAATCGTCTTGATACAATTCATGGTAGAAGTTTTAAGCCATTGACAATGTTAATGGATTTGAATTTACGTGGAAATCGATTTGAAATTATTCGACCCGATGTATTTCAAGAAAATAGACGATTACAAAAATTGGATATCAGCCGGAATAATCTCGCTCAAATTCCTCATCCAACATTTGCTAGTACAAGGTAGAAAACAAAATTTTTTTTTTACTCAAGTTTTATTAATAATTAATAATTAATAATTCTAGATTTTTTTATTTTATTTACACATTTTTACAATTATTATAATAATAATGATAATTTTGGTATTCTTTTGAAAGTTTTGAATTTTAATTAGTTAGAATTCGTTAATTAATTGGAAATTTGTGAAAATTTGTACTAATTTTTAGTAACGTTTCACTAAAACTTTAGTAAAAAAATTCAGGCCTCGGATCAAAATTTTATTTAATCAGGACAAATTTCTAAAAAAAATTCTTAAAGTTCCTTTTTTATAATTTTTTGAAATTTGATTTAAGAAATTTAATCGAATTAAAAATTTTGTCATAGTTTTTAGTTTTGATGGTCAACAAAAATTTCAGACAATATTTCATCAAGTTTTACAGATTTTTAAATAAACATTTTTTTTTAAATAACTTATTTTAGACGTGATGAAAGTTGAAATTTTTAAAAATAATTGAATTTCAAAAGATTTTGTTAATTTTCAGACAGTAATTAAATTTCACAGAACTAAAAATAATTAATCAAATAATTTTAAATAACATTTTTTAAAAGTAATTGAATTTTTCAAAGATTTACAATTTTAATTTTTGAAATTAATTGAATTTCAAGTGATTTTTAGTTTAAAATTTTTGATGACTTCTGTTACTAAAAAATTTATTAGAAATTGCAGACAAAAGTATAATAATTTGAAAACTTTTCAATTGAAAAATGGTTTTAAAATAGTTGAATTTTCGAAGAATAATATAAAAATCATTAAAAATAATTGAATTTCAGGAAAGTTATAATTGAAATTATTAAATTTTAAAGAATTTTAAATGGAAAATTTTAGAAATAATTAAATGTTAGAAGCTTTTAAATTGAAATTTTTGAAAATAATTCAATTTTAAAAGATTTTATTAAATTTCAAACAGAAATTTCTAATGATTTCTGTTGATGAAGAATTTATTAGAAATCACATAAAAAAAAATTGAATTCCAAAAGTTTTTAATTGAAAAATGCTTTCAGAGAATTGAATTTTCGAAGAATATAAAATTCATTAAAAATAATTGAAATTTTTGTAAATAGTGTATTAAATTTCATAAAAATTTTAATTGAAAAATAGTTTGAAAATAATTGAATTTATGAAGAATTTCATTAAAATTTTTAAAAATAATTAATTTAGTGAAGAATTTTAGTTAAATTTGTTAAATAATTGAAATAAAGAAGATCTCCATTGTATACTAAAGAAATGTATTTTGTTTAAAATTTTTGTAAAAAAAAAGTCGAAAAAGTTGCATTTTATTAAAATAAGTCGATAAAGTCGTATTTTTGAAAAAAAAAGTCGGAAAAAGTCGTATAATCCGAGGCCTGTAAATTAAACAATAAATAGTTTACTAAAAATTAGTGAAAATTTCTACTAATTTGAATTGGTGAATGAATTTTCCACTAAATATTCAAATTTAGAGACTATTAATTGGGAAAAAGAATTCTTTTTTCTTTCTTTATTTTTTTTTTTTTTTGGAATTTGTCATCCACGAATTTCCGGTGTTCAATTTTATACGCCTATATTGCGTTGGAAAAGCAGTTTCACTTGCACTTATGTGATTGCATCACTATATACTAAATTGTTGTAGACCTTAGAAAGTTTGCGTTCTTCATGCTCACGTTAATGTCCCCTCACTTTAAAACCATCAGCATCACCCCAGCGTGTCGCGCGTTATTTCCAGTAATTTTACACCATCTTGATGACTAATTTAATTACCTTTTTATTTATACTTTGAAGAACAAAATAACAATCTTTACATTCAAGTAAATAACAATCTTTCGCAGAATTCAAAGCTTAATTAATTAATTTTCATACATGAAAAAATTATCTAACGTTCATTATTTTTCTTTTTTTCGACAAATATATAATTAATATTTACAAAAAAAATTTTATTTTATTAATTTTTAAATTTAAAACTAACTTAAATTAAAATCATTTTTCCTTAAAATGAGAAAATAAAGGCATTAAAAAATTTATTTTAAAAAATTGTTTTTCATTATTTTTAATTGCGCAGGTTACTTGCAAATTTTTAATTGATTAAGAATTATATTTAATTAATTAAGGCAATTTAGAATTTATACTTTTGTGTACGATTCAAGTGACAAAAAAAAGTAAAAAAAAAAAAAAAAAAAAAACTATAAAAAATTTGTTACTTTTTTTGTGGTTAGTGTTTTCTTGCAATTAAAATTTTTTAAAAAGGAATAACTGACACTATCGAAAGAAATGAAAATTATAAGGTAATTTGGTATTTTTATTCTAATATTTTTTATTATTCTTTTGTATATTTTTTTATTTTTGTATATTGAGTGCTTTAGTTTTTATTTTTATTTAACTTTTTTGCATATTTTTATTAAATTATGTTATTTTCATTTTTTTTTTTTTTTTTTTGGTTGTAATTTTAGCAAATTTTGTTATTTGTTATTTATCAACTTTAAAAATATATAATCATTCGAAGAATCTCGTTCTTGAAAATTTGGGGGAAAAAAATGAACGCAATTTTTTTTGTCTAATTTCTTTTTTTATTTAATAATTTTTTTCTTTTTTGTAAATTGCAGAGATCTTCGAGAATTGTATGCGTCGCACAACACTCTGACCGAGTTACCCGGATCGTTGCACGATCTAACGGCTCTTCAGGTCCTCGACTTAAGTTTCAACAAGTTGAACATCCTATCGCCGGATACGCTCAGCAGTTTGACTTCTCTGCTCGAACTCAAATTAGTTCGAAATCGAATTAAAGAATTGAGAGAAGGTGCATTTGATGGATTACCACGTCTCAATTTGATCGACCTTGAGAATAATGATCTTCGAGTTATTGAGAGAAATTCAATTAGAGCATTGCCCGAACTTCAAGCTCTGCGTCTTGGAAAAAATCGTATTCAGGTATGTTCACTTTCAAAAGAAAAATGAATTTGAATTTTATTTTTAACAATATATAAACTAGAAATAATGAATCATAATGAAATTAAAAATAAAAAAAAAATTTTGGAAATTAAATAAGCATTTGAGAAAACCAAATTAGAAAATATTGTCACAAATATATTTTTTTTTCTTGACTTGTATTTACTTTAAATAACTGTACTCAACAATTGTGTAGTTTTCTCAAGTAACGAACCATTATTTTTCTAAGCATGAAACGTGAATTAAACTATTATTTCAATTTAGAAACGTGTTCAAAAAGTTAAATGGAAAGAAAGACGGTATTTTAATTTTCATCTTTAGTTGGGCGACTCCAATCTTTTTAAAAAATTCTTTTTTTAATTTCAATAGAATAGAATTTTATTAATTTCACAAATACAACGTGAATTTTTTAAATATTTTTTTAATTTTAATAATTTATTAATACTTTTTTATTTTCAACAGATAGACAATTTTTTAAATTTTATTTTGAATAATTAATAAAAAAAAAAATTTACATTGAACATCAATTAAAGAATTGTTAAATAGAACAAAAGCATTAAATTTATATTATCATTCTTTCAAATTAGAAACAAAATATTCGGGAATTAATATTTTTCATTTATTTTTTTCACCATATTGAACAAGTTTTTTTTTTTAAATTTTAAAATAAAATAAACATTTAATTATTTAAAATTTCAATTATTTGGTGTTAATAAATATTTTAGTTTAAATAACTAATGTTATTAGACATTAAATTCATTTTTATTAATTTCTCAATAAGAATAATTCAATTTTAGAGTTTTTATTTGAAATTTTTTTAAATAATTGAATGGAAATTAAAAAATTATTAAAAATATTTGAATTTTGGAAGAGTTACAGTTAAAATTTTTAGATATAATTGAATTTCAAAATATTTTGTGAAATATCAGACAATAATTGAAATTAATTTATCAAATAATTTTTAGATAATCTTTTGTAAAAATAATTGAACTTCAAGTGATTTTTTTATTTTATTTTTATTTCTATGATTTACGGGCTTGAAGCTTTAAATTTTTAATTGAAATTTTTGATGATTTTTGTTGATGAAGAATTTATTAGAAATTACAGACAAAAAGTGAACTTTAAAATTTTTTAATTTATAAAATGCTTTCAGATAATTGAATTTTTGAAGAATATTATAAAAATCATTAAAAATAATTGAATTTCGGAAGAGTTATAGTTGAAATTAGTAAATTTCATAAATTTACAATTCAAATTTTTTAAATTAATTGAATTTCAATTGATTTGTGATTGAAAGTTTTTTGTAATTTTTGTTCCTGAAGAATTCGTTAGAAATGATAGACAAAAATTGAATTTCAAAATTTTTTTTTCTATATATATCGCTAAGTAATTAAGTAATTGTTAAGTAATTTTAGATAAACATTTTTTAAAAATAATTGAATTTTCGCAGATTTACAATTTCAAATTTTTGAAAATAATTGAACTTTAAGTGATTTTTGATAGAAATTTTCGGTGATTTCTGTTGTTAAAGAATTTTTCAATTAAATAATAAATTTAATTCTTTAAATTTTTTTTTTCTATTCAATTTGAAAAATTAAATTATTTTATGAAATTAATGACATTAGTTACATGAATTGAAGATTTTTTGTGCGATTTTATTTGTCGATTACTTCTTCTATTTTTCCATAACGTAAATTTTCTACTTCTTTTTTTTTATTAATTTTTCTAGAACCAAAGTTGTAGTTTAAAAAAACAATTTTAAATAAATTTTGTTCAATAATTTGTTTAATAATTTCACAAACTGTCGAATAAATACTCAAATTCGAATTAGGAGAAATATAAAATGTTAATTTATTAACAAAAATTTTATCTAAATTTTTCATAATGCATCATTTTTTTTTTCAGATGATACCAAGTGGAGCATTTTCTGAATTGCCTCTTCTACAAAGTGCAGAACTTCAAGAAAATCAAATTGACGAAATAGCGAGTAATGCATTTATTAATGTGCCGCATTTACTTTTTCTAAATCTCAGTAATAATTATCTACCAGGCTTGGATTACATGGGTTTGGATAGTATGAGATCACTTGAAGTTTTAGATTTAAGTAACAATCGAATATCAAGAGTTTCAAATGATGGTCTCGCAGCGATGGAATGGCTCGTGGAGTTGAAGGTGAGAGTTGTTTTTTTTTTTTTTTACCTCAAAGTCATTAATATTATTATATACTTTCTCGTCGAGAGTGAAATTTTTATCCTATATGAACGAAATCTCGTTACGGTGAATATATTTACAATTACTGTATTGTATGATGACGACTTGAAGATAAAAAGAGCATTATTTTGCATATGATTTGCATTTATTTTCATAAATATCATAATTATGTGTTTTCATCGTAGATGGACAACAATCGTATCTGTACAATTCAAGGTTCGCCCTTTGACGATATGCCAAGATTACGAGTTCTTAGTTTGCGAAATAATAAAATGGCTTCGGTTGCCGAGGGTGCTTTCAAAAGACTTCGATCTAATATTGCCGTTCTCGATATTGATGGTATGTTTATGAAAAGAAAAAAAAAATTATTGTTTACCATTTATAATTAATAGTCATCGCGTGGTAAAAAGGAATTGATTAATTAATAGATTTCTATCTCTTGAATAACAATCCTTGGGATTTTTCAATTAGCACTTTCAGAAAGGAATAGATTTTTTTTTTTTAATGATCTAAGAAAATATATTGATAAAATCGATTTAAAACAAAAAATAAATCACTTCCTTTTTCACTTTGATGAAAGATTTCTCTTAAAAGCTAATACAGGCCTCGGATTATACTTTTTCCTACTTTTTTTTCGAAAATATGACTTTTTTTTTACTAATTTGAATAAAATGAGACTTTTTCGATTTGTTTTTAAATTTTTTACAAAATTTTTAAATAAAATACGTCCTTTTTTAGTATGCAATGTAGATCTTCTTCACATTTTCTTTATTTCAAATATTTAACAATTTTTATCTAAAATTCTTCTTTAAATTAATTATTTTCAATAATTTTAATGAAATTTTTCACAAATTCAATTATCGTCAATTATTTTTCAATTAAAATTTTTATGAAATTCAATAATATTGTTAAAAATTAGAAAATACGACTTTTGTCGCCTTTTTTTAGTATACAATGTAGATCTTCAGATCTTCTTTATTGCAATTATTTAATAAATTTTTAGCTAAAAATTTTCTCTAAATGTGTACGTCCGCATGAAAAGGGACCACTTTGTCGATTACAATAAGAATGAATTTTGCGTGAACGTTAATGCAAATATCGCCCTTATGAAAGAATCTAAAGTGGTCCCTTTTCATGCGGACGTACACAAATTAATTATTTTCAATAAATTTTTTTTTATATTTTTTATTAAATTAGATTAGTTTATTTTCTTCATTGTGTACTTTTACAAAGTTTTATAATATTTTCAATAATTTTAATTAATGAAATTCTACACAAATTCAATTACCTTAAACTATTTTTTTAATTAAATTTTTTTTATAAAATTCAATGATTGTTCAACATTTAAAAATAAGTACCAAAAATTCCAATGAAAAATCAATTGCAATTCAATTATTTTCAAAATTTTTAATTTAAAATTTAAAAATTTAATTATTTCTAAAATTTTCTATTTATAACTTTATGAAAGTTAACAATTTCAATTATAACAATTTCGAAAATTAAATTATTTTTAATAATTTTATAATATTCTTCGAAAATTCAATTATCTAAAAGCATTTTGCAAATTAAAAAATTTTAAAGTTCACTTTTTGTCCGTAATTTCTAATAAATTCTTCATCAACAAAAATCATCAAAAATTTCAATTAAAAATTTAAAGCTTCAAGCCCGTAAATTATAGAAATAAAAATAAAATAAAAAAATCACTTAAAGTTCAATTATTTTTACAAACGATTATCTAAAAATTATTTGATAAATTAATTTCAATTATTGTCTGATATTTCACAAAATATTTTGAAATTCAATTATTTCTAAAAATTTTAACTGTAACTTCCAAAATTTAATTATTATTTTTAATAATTCTTTGAAAATTGAATTATTTAAAAACATTTCAAATAAAAACCTTAAAATTGAATTATTTTTATTAAGGAATTAATAAAAATGAATTTTATCATTTTTTTTTTTTTTTTTGAATGTAAATCGACTAAAATGATTTTTTTGCGCCTTTAAATCAATCCAAGGTCTGCTGAAAAAATATTTTTTTTTAAATATATAATTTTCTTGTGAAAAAAATAGGAAATCCTTTATCTTGTTCGTGTGGAATGATTTGGCTACGAGGATGGTTACAACAAGCTTCAGCAGAAGGTCCAAGATGTGCCGACGGATCTCTATTTAGAGATATTAGATTATCTCGTCAAGATTGTCAACGCGAAAGATATATCGAATCAGTTCATCCAGGTTGCGAAACTGAAATAATTAAAGATTTCCCATTATCTGATTCCTCTTCTTGTAAGTTGTATAATTTCGAGTACAAAAAAAAATTCAACTGTATGGCGATTTAATTTTTAATATTTTTTTTTCTTTTTTACAGTATATGGAACACAACCAAAACCATGGATGGATATAAAAAATCAAAATGGACAATCCATTTCTCAAGATATGGATTATTATTATCACGATTATGTTGATTATAATTTGGAAAATACAACTGATTTATCAACAGCAACACTTTATCCACCGACATTATCGCCAATTGTTGTACCACCATCTCCATCACCTGAATTAATTCAAACAACTTTTCCACCGAAATATTCAACAATAAAAAATAATACCAATCCAACAAAGAAACCACCGACAATTCCACCATCGCCAAGTAGTTCTGGATTCACATTTTTTGGTGTTCCTTTACCAAATTTAAATTTTAATCTTTGGGGTAATGCAGGACGTAAAGCCAATAGAAAAGAAGACATTGACGATCGTTCGGGAAAAATTCGTTATAAAAATTTTCCACCAACTGAACCGGAAATTCATCGCGGTGGATTTATACCAATTCCTCAAGGTGAAGGTGGTTTTATACCAATTATTGATCCACGAATTACACAACAGGAGAAACGTGAAAAGAATATCACTGTAAAAATGCCAAAAATTCGTGAAAATACAACAATTTTAAAATCTCACGATGAACGAATACGAATAAAACATTCAAATTTTACAATTGAAAAAATTGAAAGAATCACGGGTTTTAATAATAAAAAAGCAGAAATTAAAGATAGAGAAGAATTATCCACTTTGGCAAGTGTAAAAAATGAATCTATCATTGTGACAACAATGGGAAATTTTGAAAATTTGCCTATAACTGTAAAATCAACAACTATAGAAGAACAAAATCCCGAGGCGGAAGAAACTTCATTTTCAACGGAAATTTATGTTGGTGAAAGTTTAGAGGTTGATGATGATGATGATGATAGTTCAAAAAGAGATGTTCCGCAAGAAAAGGTTGCCAATAAAATTATTTGGACTACGATTTCATCTTTGGATTCAATAGAAAGTGATGTAAAAGAAACAGTGACTACATCAATGGAGGTGCTTAATCTTAAGAAGAAGAAAATTTCAGAAATTAAAATTTTACAAAAAGAAACAACTACAATTGGCACTACCGAAATCAATGAAAATAATTTTGGTGAGTAATTTAAAAAAAAATTTAACATTAATATTAATAATTTTTTTATATTAAATTAAAAAAATAATTTATAAAATTAAATTTAAAAAATTTAATTCGTCGGCGATAGAATTTTAAAAATCGGAAAATCAATGTAAATTTAGTTTAAAAATATCTTAACGAAAAATTTAGTTGAGACTTATAAATTTTTATTTTATTTTCTTTTAGAAACAGAGGAACCAGTCACAACGGACATTCCTACTCCTCAATTTTTATCATCAGTAACAACACGAACAATCGATAAATTCAATTCAACTTCTCCAGCATCACGAACACTGGAAGCTTCAGCGCTTTCAGCACTTTTGGTGCCCGGTGGTCAAGTACCAATTGTAGTGCCAGGCAATAATTTACGATCAATTGGACGATCAACAATAACAAAAGTATCGTCACCATTTCAAAATGCATCTGAATTAAATAGAAATGAAAATAAAAATTTATCATCAGAAATTCATTCTTCCAAGAGAATCAATGATTCTCATACTGTCACAAATGAAAGCGATAAATTAAACGATGACAATGCTTTCAATTGGTATTTTCAACATTACAATGACAGTCATATTGATCCATATTTAGGTGATGTTTACGCAGGTGTCGATAGTTTGATTATTAATCAATGGACATTTTTAGGATCGCAAATGATTATTGCACTTTGGAGTTTAATTTAATAGTTAGTAAAACTGTTTGTATACTTAAAAAAAAAAAAAAATTATATAAGACTGTTGGTAGTTGATTGAAAATTAAAAAAAAACTTTATTTTTCTAGCACCATTTTTTAAAAAATATAATTATTGTACCACTGTGTACTGTAACCTGTAAGATACTCCGTGCTAATTATTTTATAGGATTTATTAATATTTATATGGTCATTGTGATCATTATTAAATTATAAATAATTATGATAATAAATAATAATAGTTATTTCAAGAATTATTATTATTATTATTATTTATTATCATGACTTTACACACAGAGAAATATTTTATTTTAATTAAATAAAAATATATTTGTCTAAGAGTCAAATAACTTTTTGTTTGAAATAAAAAAATTTAATTTAGCACAAACTTTAAGGCACAAAAAAAGTCGAAAGTGTTATTTTTTTTATTTTATTTTAACAAAATTTAATTGGTTAATGAATATTTTACTTTAAATAATAATTTTGTAATGAGAATAATTCTATAAAAACATTATCAAGAAAATTTATTTCGTATATTTCAGAATCGAACTAATTGTAAGACAAATTTTCAAAATTTTATTTAAATAGGACAAATTTCTAAAAAAATATTCTTAAAGTTCTATTTTTATCATTTTTTCAAGTCTGATTTCAGCAATTTATTCGAATTAAAAATTTTGTCATTGTTTTTAGTTTTGATGTCCAACAAAAATTTCAGGCAATATTCAATCAAGTTTTACAGATTTTCAATTAAAAATTTTGGAAGAGTTAAAAGTTGAAATTTTTAGAAATAATTGAATTTCAAAAATTTTGTTAATTTTCAGACAATAATTAAATTTTACAGAACTAAAAATAATTTATTAAATAATTTTAGATCAACCTTTTTTATAATAATTAAATTTTCGCAGATTTACAATTCTAATTTTTGAAAATAATTGAACTTCAAGTGATTTTTGATAGAAATTTTCGGTGATTTCTGTTGCTGAAGAATTTATTAGAAATTACAGACAAAAATTGAACTTAAAAATTTTATAATTAAAAAATGCTTTTAGATAATTGAATATTCGAAAAAAAAATTATAAAAATGATTAAAAATAATTGAAATTTTTGCAAATTATTAAATTTCATAAAAATTTTAATTGAAAAATAGTTTAAGATAATTGAATTTGGGAAGAAGTTCCATTAAAATTATTAAAAATAATTAATTAAGTGAAGAATTTTAGTTAAAAATTTGTTAAATAATTGAAATAAAGAAGATCTGCATTTTATACTGAAAAAAAGTATTTTGTTTATAATTTTTTTGTAAAAAATGTAAAAATAGTCGTATTTTTGAAAAATTTTTTAAAAAAGTCGTATAATTCGAGGCTTGTATTTAGAACAAATAACATTTTTATTTCAATCAAATAAAATCTATTTAATTATTAATATTAAATATTTTTTCCTTCCATTATTTTGTATTAGAAATTGAGTTTTTTTCGATTATTGAAAGTGAGAAATGAAACACCAAATCACTTGTTTGGCAACGTTTTGGTGTTTTGGTTTGACACCAAAATCTATTTAAACCAATTAAAATTTATTTGAAACAAATAAATATTTATTTGGCTCCGAGAAAAATATATCACTTCTCTGGGTGTAGTTGTAATTTAAAATGATTATGATTTATAAATAATTAGATTAAGTATATAAGGAATGTTAATAAAAAAAAAATTACATTTTTGTTAATGAATATTTTTTTTTTTTCCAAGAAAACTTACTTTCCTCTTTACAAAATACAGTATTTTAATCTTGTATATTACCATTTTTAAAAATCGATGATAATAATAGATGTTTTTAGATAGAAAATAGTTATGCAAAGTCTTAAGAGAGAGTCAACGTGTTAACAGTGTGACTTATAAATGAAAAACAAGCCTTGTTAAAGAATACAAAACTTTCAATTAAAGTATAACTATATATATTAAATAAAAGTGAAAGCTTTACAAATTAGTTGATGAAAGAGTAAAAAATCATAAATCAAAACATCTAATTGCTCATCACTGAGCTATTTAATTTTTCAATTTTTGTATTAGAACATTTAAAGCACGCTTGTAAATAAAGAAATAAATGTCAATTGTGTTTTTATGTACTTTACCTAAAATTTTCATTTTTCAAGCTGTTTCTATTTTTGTTCAGTTCAAACATTTTTTTTGAAACTAAACATTTTTTTGTTACAGCTGATTGACTTTTTAAAAATGATTGGACATATTTATTTTGTTTTTGTTTTTTTTTTTTTTTTTTTGACTTTAAATTGTTCATGATTTTACGAGATTTTTTTTCCGATTGCACGAATAATCGGAGGGTGTTTTTTAATTTTTCATAAATCAATTAATTTCACTTCACTTTTGTTTTTTCTTTTTCGTCCTTCTTTTCGTCTTCCTTTTTCTCATCTTTTTTCACGTCCTTCTTATCGGTTTCCTTTTTCTCGGCATCTCGATTTGTTAATTTATTATTTATAAGATTGTGCAATGCAATTATCGATCTTACTAAAGCAGCTAAATAAACAACGAGCATTTGATCGTTTGTTTTTACATATAGAGAATCAACAAAAGTACTTTGTGTCATGTCGGGAAGAAGATTAAAAATATCCTGCAGTTGATAGACTATTTGATGATTAATTGGTAATTTACCGTTTCCTACCTGTAGTATAAATAAAAATACATTAAATTATTAAACATATTTGTCGAATAAATTTTATTTTTTTTTTTTTAAATAAATACGAACCTGAATAAGATAATCTCTAATTTCTCTTATTTGTCCGTGAAGTCCCTTCAAGCCCAAAAGTTGATTCGTGATCCTTTGACTAAGTGTACCAACAGTGGTGTCCTTAATATCTCTGAGTAAATGTTCTACTCCAACTTCTTCTGCTTCTTCTGCTCCAATTTCGCTAGGGATGTGCTCAAATGTTTTTGAAGTTGGAGATCCATCCTAATTAAAGTAATTTACAATTATTTTTCTATTTTCTTTTCAATTATTATTATTATTTTAATAGAAAATTTTTGATTATAACAATTATATGAGAAAAAAATAATTTATCAAAATCAAACGCATAATTAAAATTTTTTTCCGAAAGTTTAAATTACTAACTGAAATAAAATATATATTAAATTTCAATAAGTACAGTAGAAATTTTAGTAAATATTTGTCAATTTAGGGAAAACGTAATTTTTCAGGTAATAGAAAAGAGAACAAAAAAATAGTAGCCCTAATTTATAATCATGTAATAGTTAATAAACAATTAATAAATGCAAAATTAAATAAAAATTAAAATATAATCTTACATCATGAACTTCTTCAACAGCCTGATAAGCTTCAGTTGGAAGACCAAGATCCTTCGGTTTAGCGTCAATAATCACCAAAACGGAATTTGGACAATACCTTCGGATAAGTTCATTGATTGCTACATCATTTTGATGCAATTTAGGACCTGTATGATACCATCCAACTACTTTTTCACGAGCTAAAAAAAATTAACAAATTTTTCAACTTACATTAACTATAAAATTCACAAAAATTTATTCCTAATGATACTTAAATAAATAAACATTTAACAAACAAAATGTAAGAGAAATAAAATAAATTTCTCATGAAATTGATAGTAAACATTTAATAATACCTCTACCTAATTATAATACACTACAAAATAAAAAAAAAAAAAAAAAAAAAAAAAAAAAAAAAAAAAAAAAAAAAAAAAAAAAAAAAAAAATTATTTTTATCTTTAATTAATAAAAATAAACGAACCATTAACTTTTTTGAACATTCCAAACATGTTTTCAAGATAATCATGATCCAAAAACCATACAGATTTGTCCTTGTCATCCTCATCGAAAGGAACTGTAAATATAATAATTTTTTTAAAATAAATTAAAAAAAAAGAAAATTACTATCAGTATTTGGCCTTTTATTTTATTGAAAATTTAAAATAAATTAATAAATACACATAAACAATGAAAGAGAATAAAAAGAAAATTGAATAAAAATAAATTCTAACCTGCAAAACTGTTAGAGACATCCAATACACCTTTTGCTCTCCAACAACCTAAAAGTACACCAACAACTCTTTTTTGATTGCCAATTTTTCCCATACGATTAAAATGATCCACCACACTTAGTAAAACTAAGGGATGAACGACAACTTTTGTCGTGAGCACTTCTTGACTCGGCATTTTTGAACAATTTTTTTTAGAACAATTGATATATATATATATGGGAAATTGGAGTTTTCGCGAACGGTTTGTATGTGTTTCGTGACGCGCTGACGATGACGTACTCAATGAAGTTATCGTCCCGACCTATGGCAATTTTGAGGTTAGAATCGTTAAAAGTCGCTATTATTATAAAATTTTTCTGATACTGATAAAAAGTTTAAGATTTTATTAAATAAAAAAATATGAAATATTTCACTATTTAATAAGTTTCAAGTTCTGATTGTAAAATTATTAGTTAAATAAAATTGTATTAAAAAATTTTTCTAATCCAGCTAACTTCAGTTTGTAGCAATTTAGCGCCTTTTTACAAATTTAGAATAATCGAAAAGTGAAAATAAAAATATTGTGAATTAAAAATTAAAAAAATTTTATTTTTATTACGTTTAGACATATTAATAAATTTTTAAAATAGTGTATTTATTATTGAAATAGTATTTTAAATGTATTAAAATAATATTTTAAAAAGTATTTTTGTTGCATTGATATCAGTGTGGAATGATAGGGAAAATGTAATATCTTGGCGCGAGTTGGTAGCACTGCATGTTACTAAAACGAAGGGGAAGAGAGCGAAGTTCAGGCGCATTTGAAACAAAATTTTCTCATCATCTCGGCATGTAAATTTTATTATTATCGTAAATAATTTCCCCAATGTTAGTTTACTTGTGATTAACAATATAAATAAACACGTGATTATAGTGATTGATACGATAATTAGAAAAATTTGAACTAATTTGATTTTGACACGATTCTAACCTCTCAAACTTACAATTTTTTGAATTTGTGAACATTCATTTTTTAAACAATATTTTTATTGATTATTTGCATATTGTTCGTGTTTTTTGTGAAAAAAATAGAGAATAAAGGTGTTAAATATCGTAAATTTAGGGTAGTAAGTGTAAAAATCGGCTTTGAAATAATAAAATTTTTGCTGTTAATAAAGGAAAGAAATTCAGTCGCGTCCATTTAGCTTCCAAATATTATTTGCAGTAAAATTCATTTATTTTCGAATAAAATCGTGAATTTTAAATTCAGAACATTAATTTTACTCTAAAAATGTGATATTTTACTTAAATGATGTGAATTTTTTTGGAGAAATTTTATTCATCTGAAGGATTTTGTCACATGTGGCATATGCCCGACATGAAATAAAATTTCTGCTTAAAATTGATCGAAAATTTGCTAATAATTAATTATTTTGAGTAAATTAATCATGTTTTTTTTTAAAAATAGTTCTAAGTGAATTCAAATATATAATTGTGAAATATTTTGAAAGTGAAGTGAAGTGCTTTTTTGAATTTCGGAAGCTAATTAAATTATTTAACGTTTAATTTATCTATAAATTAAACTGCATTATTTATTTAGCAGGTGGATTTTTTTTTGAGTATTTTTTTTAGAGTAGGTTATAACTTCCCTTGACGCTTATAAAATTACTTTTTTTATATGAAAACTAGAGTTTTTTTTTAAATTAACTTAAATTATTAAAATTAATTAAAACGTAATTTTTAAAATTAAAATTTTAATTTATTTAAAATAACTTTTAAATTCAATATAAAATTTGGATACTTTTTTGATTCATTAAATTAATAATTTAATTTGATATTAAAATATACACATTTCTTAACTCTTCTTATTTCTAGTTAAAAAAAAATAATAGAATTAATAAATTAGAACAGGATGTACTAATTTTTTTTTTTACAGGTTTAACACAGGTATTGATATATTATTACAGAGATATATTATTTTCTATTTCATTAAAAGTTAATTATTTTCGATTGGCTTCTAATGTGTATATTTATTCACTACGTCACTTTGTGATTTTCCCCTTTTTATTTTTCACATCCAATATTTATTTCTTATTCATATTTAAATAATAATATGCAAATTATTAAAATTTTTTTAATTGGTTATTGCAAAATCGAAAATTATACATAAATTCGACAAATCCCTAAATTTTTACCATTATTATATATATTTATTATTATATTTAAAATTTAATAATTATTATTATTTTTGGACAGTTAGAAATTTTTTTTTTATAATTATAATTTCTTACTATTTTTTGAGTGAAAAATATTTTTAATTTTTAATCGTTGATCATAAACGTTGTGAACATTGCCAACGTTCGCGAACTATATTACATGCACTGTATACAGTTTTATGAAGCAAACTGTACAGTCATGTATTATTTTTTTTTTAGCTGAAAGTGTGTAGGAAAATTTAACCTGGTGAATGCGTTTAAGTGTTAGTTTGAGAGCTACAATAAATTTAGTGTCTACAATGGAAAAAAATTGTATTTTTTGTAAAATTATACGAAAAGAAGCACCTGGTGAAAGTGTTTTTGAAGTAAGTAAATAAATAAACAATTTGAAAAACTAACCTATAAAATGGTATAAAATAGAATGCAAATTATGAAAATAATTTTTAAAAAATTTATTTAATTATGAAACATAGTATTTTTCTCTTATTTTCTATAACACTGTTGACAATTATTGTACGAATATTGTAGGATGACGATTTAATTTGTATAAAGGACATTAAACCAGCATCGACTCATCATTATCTAATAATTCCAAAAAGGCATATTCCGACACCAAAAGATTTAAAAAAAGAGGACGAAGAACTTTGTAAGTTAATTTTTTTTATTGATAAAACATATGCAGTCATGTCAATATTGTTCTATATAATATATTATATCATTAAATTTTTCACAAATTTATAGAGATAAATTTTACTTTATAATTTCATTTATTTCTAGAAATAATTTTTATTTTTAATAAATTTTCAAATAAAATGGTATTTTTTTGGATTTAAAAAAAAATTTATTTCTTAATTTAATGATCAATAAGGTTGATATATTTTGAAAAAATGTTTCACATTTCCTAGTTAATTAAAAATAAAGTTCATTTTCAGAATTTTATTCTACACTGAAAAAAAAAAATTTTGATCGAAATAATCGGTTACTTTACTATTATCAAATAAATATTAAATATTTTCTTGAAATAAATAATTTTTATTTGAATTAAATGAATTGTATTTGAACCAATAATTTCTGTATTTTAAACAAATACCATTTAATTGACTTAAATAATAATTATTTAAATACAAATAAATATTTATTTGAGAATATTCAAATGATCGATTATTTCAATAAAATAATTTTTTTTCTAGTGTGCAATAGAAAAAAGGGTGTTTTTATTACGAAGTAACCAAAATTTACAAAAATTTGAATAATAATAATAATATTAATAATAATATTTAATCTCCATTTTTCTTAACAGATGATAAAATGGTTGCAACAGTGGATATAATTGCGAGGCAACAAAATTTCGAAAATTCATCTATTAGAACAGGATTTCATTGGCCGCCTTTTAACACTGTAAATCATTTACATCTTCATGTGATTTCACCAGTTGAATCAATGAGTTTTCTTCATAGATCAATGTTCAAACCAGATTCATTTTGGTTTGTTAGTGTACGTAAATAATATTTTTCATAATTTCAAAAATTTTGATCTACAATATTTGACAAAGAAAAAAAAAGAAAAAAATGAAAAATTTTTTCGTTTTCTGTTTTTTTTTAAACAAATTTTATAGATTGATTGATATTTGAACGTTAAAATTATTTATGCAAATCATTTTTAATATTTATTTCTATGTATATAATTTTTATTTATTTTTCAGCTAGAATATTTATTTATTTATTTTCAAGGTTTTTACATATAGATAAAGTAATTTATATTTTTTCATTAAATTTTTTATTTATTTACCTATTTATTTTTGTACAAAATATTTCGCTATTTGTTAATTTTCTTAGAGAAAATATTAAAAATTATTCTTTTTTTTCAGACCGACTACGTGAAATCACGCTTTGCAAGCAGCAATTTATAGAAAATTTCTCCTAAATTTAAGAAAGATTAATTTAAAAAAAAAAAAAAATTGAAATATTTGTTGATAAATATTTAAATATCTCAAACTTCCTTTTAATATCGATATAAAAAAAATCTATATTATATTGTGATATAAATGTAATTATTATATTTTAAGGTAAATGGTTATTGTATAATTAGTTAAAACCAATTTTTGTTTATAATAATTTGTTATAATTTGTTTATGGTGTTATATATATATTTTATAAAAGTTTTCCAGCTATTTATGATTGGATAATAATTTTTTTTTTTCTCTTTCCTCTAATTATCCGGTGCTTGAAAAATACCTTTTTTAAACATACGTTGCCATTCTTTACCATTTGGATAGACAAAATTAATGATACTTTCTTTTTTAAATTTTGTCGAATAACCAAATGATTTTGGCGGCATGTAATGGGCATTTTTAATAACAGTTGGATTTTCAAAGTGTTCATGTTGTTGATCGACATATTCAATCATTCTGTCTTTCATTGTTCCACTAAGACAAATCATGTCCCAATATTGTAAATGTTGAACCATTTCACAAAGTCCCACTCCTCCGGCATGGGGACAAACTGGAACTGAAAATATACAATTCAATTTTTTTTAACAAAGAAAATGGTAATTTTTTCAATAATTTAATTTAATTACAAATTTTTTATCTATTTTTTAATTAAAAAGAAAGGGTCAGAATTTCTTAAATAAATCACCTTAAATTAACAAAAATTTTCAGTGTTCATTTTTTTTTTTTTTTTTACTTTCTACTATATAATTAAAATAAGTTTCTGTAAATAAATTTTTTTTTGTTAAAGTTATAAAAACAATTGAAATTTTTAGCTTTTTTAAATTTAAAAAAATTTTCTCAAGATCCATTTGACAAATTTAAAAACAAAAAAAAATGTTTAACGCGTCTTAGACTGTGAAATTCGAAAATAATTTTTGTTTTCAAAAAATGTTTAGGTATTTTATTTCAAACATTTATAATTAATAAATTATTATTTAATTATGTAATAATTGAAAATAATAATTTTTTTAAAACAAAAATTATTTTTTAATATCTCATTCTAAAATGAGAAAAAACTTTTTTTTTTGTTTTTAAATTTTTCAACTGGATTTTGAGAATTTTTTTTTTTTTTTAAAAACTTATTTTGATTACACTAGAAGTAAAAAAAAAATTAAAATTGAAAATTTATTACTTTTTGAAAATTTTAAGTGATCTGTTTAAAAAATTCTGATCCAAATAAATAATTTTTTTTTTTAAATTTGTTAATAAATTTTTTAATAAAAAAAAAATATAAATAAATAAAATTATATTATAAAAAAGATATACCATTCATTTTGTGAGCCATTAAATAGACGGACAAAATTTCATTGACACCACCAATTCTCGCTGAATCAATTTGACAAAAATCAATTGCTTTTGCTTGTAATAATTGTTTAAATATAACACGATTTGCACACATTTCCCCCGTTGCCACACCAATTCCATGTGTACGTAATTCTTTTGCAATTGTCGCATGTCCTAAAATATCATCGGGTGATGTTGGTTCTTCAATCCATGTTAAATTAAATTGTATTAAATTTTTCATCCAATCAATTGCTTGTTTAACGTCCCAAACTTGATTAGCATCTACCATGAGTTTATTTTTATTTCCTATTTCTTCTCTAATAATTTGACAACGTCTTATATCATCGTCAATATTTTGACCAACTTTTGCCTTGAACGATGTAAATCCTTGTTTTAAATATTTTTTACACAATTCACGTACTTTTTCATCTGAATAGCCCAACCATCCAACTTGCGTTGTATATGCTGGATATCCATTTTTTAGTAAAATTTCTTCTCGTTTATCTTTATTCAATTTTTTTTCATGTAAAATTTTTAATGCCTCTTCTTTTGTAATTACGTCGGTTCTGTAATTTTCGTTTATTTATTTATTTTTTTTTTCTTAATTTTCGACAAGGAAAAATTTGAGATTTTACATCCAGAGAAATATTTTATTTCAATCAAGTATAATTTATTTGAGTTAAATAAATGTATATTTGTCTCACAGCCAACTAGCCTATTTATTTGGGGTAAATAAATTTTTTTTATTCAAATCAAATAAAAATTTATTTGAATCAAATAAATATTTATTAGACTGTGAGATAAATATATCATTTCTCTGGATGTATTATTATAATAATATTAATAATAATAATAATAATAATATTTTTTATTATATTATCACGATAAATTTTTTTATTAATTAATTAATTAATTATTATTATTATTATTATTATTATTATATTTACATGTATCTAAAATCGATTGTTGAAACCAATTCTTCTGGCGAGAGATCTGTTAACAATTTCCAAAGAGGTTTTTCCTCAATTCGTGCCCATAAATCCCATAATGCATTTATTATTGCTGCAGTTGCTAAATGTGTCACACCTTTTTCTGGACCAATCTAAAAAATATTAATAAACTGTGTCGGGATAGAAAATTCTCTTAATTTTATTGGAAAATAATTTTTTTTTAATTTTATTTATTTATTTTTTTTTTTGAAAAAAAATTTTTTATTTTTAATATAATTAAAAAAAAATATATAAATTGAAAATAAACAATATTTATAATTATTATTTTTTCAAATACAATAAATTGAAATAATTTCTTTTTTTCAAAAATTAATTTACGTATTGAAAAAATTTTTTTTGATTGAAATAGTAAATCAATTACTTGACTATTATCAAATAAATATTTATTTGTATTGAATAATTATTATTTGAATTAATTAAATTGTGTTTGTTTTAAATATGGAAATTATTGACGTTTAAATACAGTTTATTTATTATATTTTTTTTATATTAACACAATGTTTTAGTTATTTCAATAACAATATTTGTTAGATTCAAATAAATATTTATTTGATTCAAATAAACGATTGGTTTATTTTAATAAATTTTTTGAATGAAGAAAAAATTTGATTGAATCAAATAAATTTTTGATTGATTCAACCAAAATTTGGTTTTTTTTTAAATATATTTTTTTCTGACTGTAGATTTTAGTCAAGTAATTAATTATTTGAATTAAATCAATTTTTTTTAGTGCGCCATTAATTTAAATGAAATTAAATTATTTCAAAATTTTCTTTTGTTTAAAAAAAAATTAATTATTAAATTGATACTAAAAATAAATACTGTGAATTATTTCTTATTATTTGAGTGAAATTTGTATAAAAAGAATTTTAATAATAATTTTAAAAAAATTAATTAATTATTTATTATAAAAAAATAACAATTATATGAAAATTTACATTTAATTTAATTGTACAGAAAAAATCAATTACGTTTGATTAATTTCTATTAAAAAAATATTTTATACCCATCTTATTTGAGTTTCACTTGTCAATTTTCTCCAATAGTCGGCAAAGTTTGAAAAAATTTCTTTAACCTTCACACCTTTAAGAATTTTTGACATAGTCAAACATGCTTGTACCACTGAAAAAATTTTTTCTTCTTTTTGAAACTGCTCGAAGTTGTTTAAATTATTTATATATATATAAAAAAAAAAAAAATTATAATGATTTAAAAATTTATAATTTTGATTTACCGATTTCTGTTCCTCTACCGAGAGTAAAAGTTAAACCGTAACCCTCATAACATTTATTGGTTTTAATTGTTACATATGCACATGAATAGTCAGGATCAACGTGCTAAAAAATGATTATTAATTTTTTTTTTTAATATTTAAATATTTATTAAAACTAGAAGTAGAAATTATTTAAAAAAAACTTTTTAATTTATATATTAAATTTTTTTATTGACATTTATATTTTTAAATTTATTTTAAATATTATATTAAATTTTTTTATTGAAATTTATAATTTTAATTTATTGAAAATTTTTCTATTGAAACTTTTTGAAATATTTTTTTATAGTTTAAAAAAATAATTTTTTATATAATTTACCATTGCATCACTACCATCGGATAATAAGGATGTTGGGAATCGTATATCCTTTACATCAATTTCAGTTATTTCAATTTCATCCATTTTTCTATATAAAATAAAAAATTGAAAATAAAAAATAAATGTGTTAAATTTTCACCGTTGTCGCAACGATAAATTTTTTTTTTTTTAATTTTTCCGAGTTCTCGATTGACAGTTGCTTAAAGAACAACTGATAACTGAAATAAATTTTATTTCTATTTATTTCTTATCACTATCATTTCTGTAACCTCTTTCATAATGTTTTTTTCCCTGATAAGATAAAATAAAATTCATTATTTGATGCTGCATAATATATATTTGATTGTATACAATAATATTTATTTACATATTACTTAATAAAGTAATTTCTGAAAATAGTTTTTGTCATTTATATCATGGATGATTTTTTTTTAATATCTATTAAATATAATAATTAATTTTACAACAGAAATGTAAACTAAACTTTTTTTACAAAATTTTTTGTATTTTTTTTTAAATATGTATATTATTATTATTATTATTATTATTATTATTCTTTATAAAATATTATTGATTCAATTAATATCGAATATGTTCATATATTAAAAAATAATAATAATATTAAATAAAGACATAAAAATATAATTGAATTAAAAAAAAAGTAACTAAATATTGTGATGTAGAAAAATTTCTTTGTAATTTTACCACTATATAAATACTGGAAATTATAACCGGTATGATCACTTAAAATAAAGAATTTAACATAACCTACATGTTATCATAATTCTGTTATCAAAATTATTTTATAAAAAATAGGATATATTTTAAAATCATTTTATTTTGATTTCAAATTTTCGCGCTAAGGCCTTAAAGTGCCATCTATAATTTATCTATTTTCTGTCGGAACTTACAATTGTGCGCAAATATAAACTTACGACGTTCTACATACGTTTTAGTTCTAGTTCATTCTAGTCAAATGTTGTTAGTGTTTTGAGTAGTAACACGTGTTAGAAACAAAATTATTAATTAATTTATGTGTTAATTTATATATTAAAAATGACACCAAACTTGGAAGTTGTTGTGGGGACGTATGAGCAATTTTTGCTCGGTTATAAAATTAATAAAATTGTCAATGTAAGTATATATACTTATATTATAAAAATTTATAATATTGTATGTTTGTAGGTTATAAAAAATTGTTTTGTTTTTTAATTTTAAATTAAAATTAATTTTCCTTATTTCTCTACTCAAAATTCTTAATATCAAAATGAATAATTAATATCGTTAATTTCACAATGTTGACGAATTTTGTAAATTTTACTTTTTTAAATTATTGTTTATTTACAATAAATGAAATTAGATATATAATAAAATTAATAATTAATTATTTTTACTTTTAAGTTTTCATTATTATTTTAAAAAATTTCAATGAATTTGACAGTTTTAAAAGTTCAATTTGTCATTTTTTAATTATTTAATCTATTTAATAATTCAAATGCACATGTTTCAGATTGACAAACATTCAATTTTTTATTTGACTAAATAAAAAAATCTTTACGTATTTTATAACTTATAAAAACTCTTTGAATTATAGGCAATTGAAAATTTTAATAATTGCAAAATTAAAGGATTTTGAGGATAAGACGAGACAAATAAAAAAAAAAAATTATTTTAAATGTTCAAATGAATAAAAAATTTGTTTACTACTTTTTTAACTTTAAATTTTAATATCAAATATTGTTTTCGGTATTCAAAAATAAATTAATAATTTATCAAATGTTTAATGTACTTTTTTATAATATATTTTTCATTGTTATTGTAATTTTTAAATTTATAGGTCAAAAAAATGATTTCGTTTATTTGAACGTTTAGAACTTTATAGAAACATTCTGAATTTTAAAAAAAGGAAATGATAAACTTCTAATTAATTTTAATTCATTTAATTCATAAAATAATTGATTTTTTATATAATTTTATTATTTTTCCTTCTTTATTCTTAATATTATACTATTATAAATAATTGTATTTAAAGGCCTTGAGAATGTTTATTTCTTAAATAATTAAACAACAAAAATTTTAATATAATTGAATTTTTTAAAAAAAAATTGAAGTTTAATTTTAATGAATTAATTATGTACCGTGTATAAATATAGATAAACATATTTTTATAAAAATATTTAAATGGAATTTTGTTAAATTTTTTTTTTATTAATTTCAGGAGTACAAAATAGAGCAAACTTTTGCAACTCACAGTCATTTAGCAAGCATACGAAGTGTTGCTAGCAATAAACATTATTTAGCATCTGCAGGAGCAGATGAAGTGGTTTGTCTTTATGATATGCGTCATCGATCTGAAAGTGGAAAACTAATACATCACAATGGTAATAGAAGATATGTGTATTTTATTTAAAATTAGCTTAATTGAATTAATTAATTTTTAATTTTTTTTTTTTTTACAACATTTTTATACAAACGACGTCTTTTTTAGTATACAATGCAAATTTTCTTCAGATCTTTATTTCAATTATTTTACATATATTTAACTAAAATTTTTCTCTGAATTAATTATTTTCATTAATTTTAATGAATTTCTTTATAAATTCAATTATCTTAAATTATTTTTTAATTAAATTTTTTTTTATGAAATTCAACAATTGTTTATAATTTTTTAAAAAATCAGATAAAATTACGAAAAATTTCAATTTAAAACCTTTTAAATTTTAATTATTAGAATTTTTCATCTAAAACTTTTTGAAATTTAATAATTTCAATTATAATACTTCCAATTATACTGAATATAATACCCCAATTATCTGAAAGCATTTTTCAATTAAAAAATTTTAGTTCAATTTTTGTCTTTAATTTTTAATAAAATCTGCAGCAACAGAAATTACCAAAAAAAAAATTCCAATTCAAAATCACTTCAAGTTCAATTAATTTCAATTGTAAATCTTTGAAAATTCAATTACTTTTAAAAATTTTTATCTAAAATTATTTGAAATTAAATAATTAAATCTTTTGAAATTTAATTATTTCTAAAAATTTCAACTATAACTCTTTCAAAATTCAATTATTTTTAAAAATTTTATTATTAAGTGCTGCCGAGTGATAAATTGAAAATAATATTATTAATTTTAATATTTCTTTAAAAATTCAATTATTCAAAAAAAAGTTTCAAATAAAAACTCTAAAATTGAATTATCAAAAAAAATTTTTTTTTTTTTTTAGAAATTTGTCCTTCTCAATTAAAATTTTAAAAATTTACGTCTTCGATTTTAAAATATTCGAAATAAATTTTCTTGATAATATTTCTATAAAATTATTCTTATTAAGGAATTAATAAAATAGAATAAATATCTAATAATATTAATTATTTAAAGTAAAATACATATTAATTAATTAAATTTAATTAAAATAAAGAAATCGACTGAAACGACTTTTTTTTGCGCCTTAAAGTTGATCCGATGCCTGTGATTAGTGTAAAAAGAAAATTAAATTTATTTATTTATTTATTTTCTTTTTTTCGTAGATTCTGTGAATTGCATCACATTTACACCTGACGCTTCGCATATTTTAACCGGTGGCAGAGATGGATCAATAGGTGTTGTTCGATGTGGTAATTGGCAAGTGGAAAAATTATGGGATAAACCACACAAAGGTTTTCCCATTGAGGCATTGGCAGTACATCCATCAGGAAAATTAGCTCTATCAACTGGAGGCGATGGCACTCTTCGAACTTGGAATTTAGTCAAGGGAAAACAAGCTTACGCTACAAATTTAATACCACGATGGCGAATGCTTGCAAAAAATATCAATATATTAAAATGGAGTCCAAATGGTGAAAAATATTTAATTGCATCAAATAAAAAAATTGATATCTATTCTGTGGAAACAGCTGGCGTTGATGAAGAAATAGAACTCGAGACAAAAGTAATATGCGTTGAATTTCTCAATGATAATTTAATTGCCATTGGTTTTGATAATGGTAAAATACAATTTTACGATCTTGAAGAAAGTTCAATAATTTTAGATACAATTGCACATGCAACAAGATTAAAATGTATGCAACATATTGATGATTATTTAATAACAGCTTCGAGTTCCGGTGAAATAAAACTTTGGCAATTCACCAAAGATTCACTGTCATTGCTAAATCAAGTCACATGTAATTCGCGAATTTTATGTCTTACCCTTGCGACAATTTGTAAAAATGCTCAATCAAAAGAAGATAAAGTGACAACAGAAGAAGTTATTGAAATAAAGAAAGTCAACAAATTAAGAAAGAGACAAGAAGTAATCATTGAAGACGAAGAAGATTTGAAAATAAAGAAAAAGATGAAGAAAGTCAATGATTTTATTGTTGAAAATATTAACAATACTCAACATGGATTAAAAAGATCCTCTGATGATGATGATGATGAAGACAATTCACCTGTGAAGCAGAAAAAAAAGAAAATGAAAGAAAATAAAGAAAGTCCTCCAAACAAGAGAAAGGATTCAAAATGGATAGAAGAAGAAATACAGACGCCTGTTAAAAAAAAATCGAAAACAAAATCTTTTGAGATTGAAGATAAATCAACAAAGTTGAAAAACACAAAGGAGAGTAAAAAAAGAGAAGCGCCTATTGAAGAAAAAAATATTTCGCCAAATAAGAAAATTGCCACAAATTTGAATGTGAAAAATGAAAATTTCTCGAAAAAGAAGAAGAAAAAGAATAAAAATATTCTGTAAGAATAAAAAATATATTTTTAATACTATATTTAATTAAAAATTAATATCTAGAGACTAAGAACCATGAATGTGATGGTTAAAGATTTGTATATTTTTTATTTGGTTGTATAAATATTTACAGAGTGTAAACGTTAATAAACCTTCAGTCTAAGTGCATAATAAATTATTTACATTTTTTTTTTTTTTTTTTTTCCTTTAAATCAGTCTATTTACAAAATTGATTTTCACACACTCACACGCACACACAATATTGTTATTTATTTGAAAACAATTTTTTTAACGAGATTCTTTTTTCACTTCTTTGATGTTCGATGTTTTACATATTCTCTTTCAAAAAAAAAAAAAAATTTTTTTTTTTTAAATCCTTATACCAATCAGAAGGTATTGGATTTTTTTTCTTGTATTTAATTAATTCTGAGGAATGTTAGTAAAATTTTCTATTTAAGTATTTTTAATTGATTTTTTATATTCTTTTTTTTTTTGTTTGTATTACCATAAAATACATTTGTGGTGAGGATTCATTGGACTTCCCACGGGACATTTCCAAGCGTTAGCAAAGTCAATATTGTTTGACAATGTTCCAATCACGCGAAAATGATTTGGAGCGTGTACTCCTTCCACTAATTTTGATTTTAGTGCACCGTTTGTGTAATTTCCACACCATGTCTGAAATTTGGATTTAAAAATTTTAGTGTTTTATTTTTTTAACTAGCAAAATTAAACGCGCGCAAGTGCGCCAAATTGAGTATTTAATTGTTTGTTATAAAAAAATTAAAGATTAATATTATCAATAATAATTTAATTTATTAGAATATTATTACATATTAAATGATAATAATGAAAATTATATGTTTACAGGCCTCGGATTATACGACTTTTTCCGACTTTTTTCAAAAATACGACTTTTATCGACTTATTTTAATAAAATGCGACATTTTTTTTACATTTGAAAAAAAATGTAAATGAAATACATTTTTTTAGTATAAAATGTAGATCTTCTTCAAATCTTCTTCAATTCAATTATTTAACAAATTTTGAACTAAAATGATTCTTCACTAAATTAATTATTTTTAGTAATTTTAATGAAATACATCACAAATTCAATTATATCAAAATTATTTTTCAATTAAAATTTTTATGAAATTTAACAATTGTTTATAATTTAAAAAAAAAATATCACAGTAAATTTGAATTATTTTTTTAAAAATTTCAATTCAAAATAAACTAAAATTCAATTATTACCCGAAATTTTAATTCAAAATCAATTAAAAATCCAATAATTAGGTATCAAAAATTTTCAATTTAAAATTTAATTATTTACCAAGTTTTCAATTTAAAATTAAATAAAATTCAATTATTTTCAAAAATTTCTATTCAAAATTAATTATCCAAATTTTCAATCAAAAATGAACTTCAATTAAATTATTATCCAAAATTTCAATTAAAATTCAATTATTTCACAAAATTTTCAATTCAAAATGAACTGAAATTCAATTATTTTCCAAATTTAAAATCAAATAAAATTTCATTATTCTCAAAAATTTGAATTCAAAATTAATTGAATTTTCAATAATTTGAATTTAAAAGCATCAAAAATTTAATTATTTATAAAATTTTCCATCGAAATTTTTTTTTTTTTGAAATTTAATAATTTCAATTATAACTCTAAGGAAATTCAATTATTTTTAACTATTTTAATAATATTCTTTGAAATTTCAACTATCTGAAACCATTTTTCAATTAAAAATGATTTTCAAATTATTGTATTTTGTCCGCATTTTCTAATAAATTTTTAGTGAAATCATCTAAAATTTTAATTAAAAAACACTTAAAGTTTCAATTAATTTCAAAAATCTCAATTTTAAATCTTTGAAAATTCAATTAAATTTCAAAAATGTTTTCCAAAAATTGTTTGATAAATTATTTTTAGTTCTGTAAAATTTAATAATTGTTTGAAAATTAACAATATCTTTTGAAATTTAATTATTTCTAAAAATTTCAACTTTAACCCTTCGAAAAGGATTATTATTAAAAAAAATTTTTTATTTAAAAATCTGTAAAATATTTTTGTTAAAATAAAAACCAAATCCACGTTTTTTTGGAATATAAATCAACTGAAACGACTTTTTGTGTCTTTAAGTTGATTCGAGGCCTGTGTTTTTATAATTAATATTTAATAGGTATTCGTTGGCCCCTGGTACCTTAAAAATTAATTTTTAAAAATTAATTTTTTTCAAATTACTAATTTGGAAACACAATTATACAATTTTGGCGAAAATGAGAAAAAGAATTGTCAAAATTTGACACGTCATAAGATTACTATTCAAAAGAACACGTGAAATCAGAAAAGGCCAACTTCAAGTTAGGACAGAAGGACAAACCAAGCATTTTATTATTATATAATTAAAAAAATATTTTTTTGCAATTATTGTATTTTTTATGATGCTGAAGTCCATAACGTTTATAATTAACGATTTTTAATGAAATATTTTTTTCAGTGAAACTATGAATTTTTGTCTCATTTCTTTCAATGTTTATTGATCGAAAAATTATATAGAAAACATTTTTTTAGACAACAAACTTTATAATTTTTCGTCTTAAAAAATAATTTGTTTTCTAATCGTTGTGGACATCAGCATCTTGTATCTTTTTTTTTTTTAATTGTAGATAATTTTAATTTATCATTTAAAAATTGTCTAATTTTGAACTATTTTTAAAAATATTTTTACAATTATTATTTATTTATTTATGTTTTTTTTTTTTGAAAATAGAAATTTTTTTTGGTATGGAGACAAAAGTTTCAAGGCGAAAGTACCAATTCCTAAGGGCTCAAGTTATTATTTAATGAATAAATTAATTTAATTATATAATTTTTTATAATACGAATTATATGATTATTCTTTTTATGTTTAATAATGAAAACTTTGTTTTCCATATGAATATGAAAATTTTAATTTATATAGGCAAAAGAAAGGATTATTAAAAAATAAGTAAATATTAAATTTTGACTTTATTAAATAATAAATTTTTAATACAATAAAATTGTTTCTTTTTTATTTTTCAAATTTTAAAGTGCAATTTCAAATAATAATAAATATGTTAGAACTGATACATGAAAAAAAAAAAATTTTTTTACACTTACTTTTGCAATGTTTGATTTTTATAATTGTAAAAAAAAATAATTTTTTACGATTGATTTTTATATTATAAAAATTCAGATGGGAAGAACAATGTGAAATTTATTCTTGGATATTTAAAAGCCATCGGCAACAACTTACATTTTTAATCTTATTTTTTTTAACCAACTTTTGTACACTTAACTTCTTTAAGTTTGAAATTTTTTTCTTTGGAAAAATAAATTTTTGATCTCTTTTTGGAATTTTTTTTTTTTTGAAACTTTTGTACTCCAATCACTTTTTTAATTTTCTACACGGAGAGAAAAATCTGCCTTTTATAGTATAGAAAGGTTTACATTTAATGCACAGAAATTTTCTATGCTATATAGACATGAAATTTGAGTAATTATAGTACAATCGTATGTCTTTTTAGCATGAAACTTGTCTATGCTAATAAAGTTTGTCATATAGCCTCTTATTACATACTTATTATACTTTTAATCCAACGGCGCCATGCGAAGATCGCACATAACATCATCCTACTATGTTTGCATAAGTTCTATGCTTTTTCGGGGATAGACTCTTGCAACTGGCGATTAGGGCAGTTCCAATTCAGTAAAGGTGGGCGTGGCCTAATCGCCAGTTGCAAGAGTCTATCCCCGAAAAAGCATAGAACTTATGCAAACATAGTAGGATGATGTTATGTGCGATCTTCGCATGGCGTTCTTGCTATTAAACTACATGTTTTGTACTATAGAAGCATATATACTATGCTTTTTTAGTACGGACAAATACTATCCTAAAAATTCTCAAATCTTTGCTCTATTAGTATGAAAAGTTTAAAGAAAAATAGCAGCAATCTATTTCATACTATAAAAGGCAGATTTTTCTCTCCGTGTATGAATATTTTTTTTAGTTTACTTTCTAAAAATGTAAATGTTTTTAATTTTTTTTTTTTTTTAATTATTGTTGCAATTTTCTGTTTTTAAACATTATTAATAAAAATAATAAAAAATAATAATAATAATAATAATAATTAAATAATAATAAAAAATAATAATAAATAAAAAAAAAATAATAATAATTAAAAAAAAATATATATTTTATATTTATTTATTTAAAAAATTTATCTTTTAAAAGTATACTTTTATTTGAGTTAAATAAAAATTTTATTTGTCGCTAAATTAATTTTTTTATTTAAAAAAAAGTTATTAGGTTCTGCGAAAAATATATTTTTATATTGCTTTAAATAAATTTTATATTTGTATCAAATAAACGCCAATAAAACATTTCTCTGTGTATCATAAAAATAATTAAAAATTTAAATATAGGTTTATAATTATTTTTTAACACAGTTTGTAAAAAAAATATTTCTTTCCCAAAAATTATATTTACACTGGAAAAAAAATTTATTTGATTCAAATAAATAGCTACTTGACTATTATCAAATAAATATTTATTTGAATTAAATAATTATTATTTAAGTCAATTAGATGATATTTGTTTCAAATACAGAAATTATTGTTTCAAATATAGTTTATTTAATTGAAATAAAAATTATTTGGTTCAAGTAAATATTTGCTAATAGTAAAGTAACCGATTATTTGAATGAAATAAATTTTTTTTTCTATTTCTTAATATAAAAGTTTGGAAATTTTTATATAATAATTGAGATAGTTTTGACTAAAATAAACATACCTGTGCAAATCCAAGGAAGAAAAGTTGGTTATGACTGTAATCTACCAAACCAGGCAAACCTTGTTGATTTGGACTTCTTGCTTTTAATCTTTGATAAGCTCTGTAAGCTTCTCTTATTCCTCCATTATCAGCTATATTTTCACCTTGAGTATTAAATCCGTTTACCTATTGTAAAAAGAAAAAGAAAAAGAAAATTTTTTTTGATGTTATTAAAATATTCATATATTAAAATAGAATATTTCTATATATTATATATATATAATTTATTAGAACTTATTTTGCCTTGAAACAGGTTCAAAAACCTTCATTCTTTAAAGTGTACTTACTGTAAAATTGGTACCTAGCTCCGGTAAATGATAATTA